CTTAATGTTCATATTTCATATTACATTTATAACTTTTAGCTAAACTTATATTTTAACTATTCCGATTCGCTTGTTAGTTCGCTACAGCTTCTCGATTGCACCAAGCCCGAAGACGTACTGACAATCGACTCCGCGACCTTGCTCCATATCCCGGAATCGCTACTCCCCGGCCAAAGCAAACATTGCACAGATTATTAAGACAATTCCATAGACATCCATTAATCATTTCTTAACCAAAATTAAGCAATCCATTTTGTATTGGCTTTGTTATTTTTAACTACTGTCCCTACGTAATCTTATATGGTGGACAGGGTCAACTAATCATTACACTGAGTACCAAGTTTCACACAATTTTTTAGTGTGAAAAGTTGTCAAGAGATTAAGCGGTTCACCTGATGTTAAGTGATTACTGCCGGCTATAGACGTCTAACGAGGGCTTGCAGATGCGTTGACAAGAACAATACTACGTGGTCCTACTAGGGATATCGATATTCAACATCCCTAGGTCCTACCACGGAAACTACACTTGCAGTCTTGTACAACGACCGACAATGACAATCGTATAGGTAGCGTGTGACAGAGATAACGCTCTACGAAACCGAAATTAGCCGTCTGTCTCTTTCAGTATTTTACGGTGGGACCACACGACAGCTTCTGCTTCTTCAGCCTCACAGAAGACCAGCGTGAAGTGGATATATTATACTGTAGTGAGGTTACCGTGGCCCACATTTTCAAAAGTTGTCAACCCTCTGGTGTTATAGATGTCCATGGCGGTCTTCACTCTTCAGTTAACATCAGGTGAACCGCATGCTCGTTTTTAACATCAAAAAAGTACTATACTGTGTGTTGGTGTTACGAGAATAAGCCGCGGTGCCGCAACCATTGTGAAGAAACATTGAGCGTTTCAGCTTTGGTCTCCGGCAAAAGTTGACCGATCTTCGCACGTAAATCAACAGACAACATCTCTGTGAGAAAGGGAAAAGTTGTGCCGTAGCAAGTCTTCCTCGACTGTCGTGCTCGCGATTTATTCCAAATGCTGTTGACTCGGTAGAAGCTACGCTATTGGCTTTGGCGCCCTGGGCCGTGGGTTAGATTCCCACACGGGTGTTCGAGTGAACTACAGACAGTTTCAGGTCTGGGTCCCTGTTCTAGGGTTGCCAACCATACTTTATAATAACGTAGGATACGTAATATTTTTCATGAAAATAAGGTAAGTATGTGAAAATACTTTATTTTAAATCTTTACTGTGATGCATAAAATAAATCACTTACAATGAATGTAGGTAACTATATGATTAATAACGGTACTTTTATCGATACTTCTAAATTGAAACAGAACACTTTTAACTTGGAAGCTTTATAAAATAGTGATAAAAAATAGTGTGTGTAATATGATGAAAAATAGTGTGTGCTAGAAGCATACAAAAATATTATACAGCGTGTCGTTAAAAAACGACAATAAGTGAACACACGTCTAACGCTACTTGCTAATAATCATAAAAACGTATTAACGTTAAAAAAATCCATAATTAAAAAAAATATTTTTCAAACAAACTACTTAAGTAATAAAGAATCAAAATTTGTAACATCCTATACAACTAAAACTGACTGATTCATACATTCAGAGACTTTTTTATTCGTTGCCACAGCGTTGCATTACAAACCTCTCCTTCTAACTACTAACAGTATGTTTTGTCTCTTTTAAATTCATTCAACCCATTCCTATTCTTTGTGACCTTTACAAATGAACTTTACATTACAGTTTTATACGTATGGATGTTGTAAAATTCTTTGTTTTGGAAAATTTAATAACTTTAAATACTGATGTTTAAAGAATGTAAATTTTTAATACAATTTTAAAAAGTTATCCTCTATATGTGTGTTCATTTATTGTCGCGATTGTAAAGACACGCTGTATATTCAAGAGGAAGAAATAAATAAAATTTGGAAAAATACTTTCTTTTTCTTCTTTATACTTTATTTTTTCTCTACTTTAAAAATGTGATACTTTATTTTTCTCAAAACACTTGGCAACCCTACCCTATTCCCAAGGAGTTGACGTCAAGGCGCGCCGGCCAAACGTAAAAACAACCAGATATAGACCATGGAACTGATTTATTGCTTCAATTTAATTGTATACAACAGGCAAGAAACATGCACCATGTAAATGGGCCTTAAGTCAATATCATTACCAACATGATTCTTATTGTTCAGAACCCACCAAGTCGGAATCCTCGCTACTTGATTCTCTAAGACGATCATATAAATGTTAGCTTATGTGAATAAACTGCCATGCCAGTTCTCCACGCTAAGTGGACATGTAGACATGTACATGGACATGTAGAACATCTGACGGGTTGCAGAGGGTGCCAACCTCGGGGGTCAATAGTCGAACCATGTCACCTTACTCACATGACGAGAGAAACACAAAAGTATGCATTCACGCCGTTCTGCTAGTCGGTCGAACGGACGAGCCTGCCCATTCGTACAACAGAAGTTACTGCGTGGCCCTACCACAGATAATCGAACATGTATTTTATCATAACGAAACAGAAAAACCAACAAAACTCAAAGTACTATGGAGACCATTTCCCACCAGCGAATTTAATGAATCGATTGACAACGGTATTTCCGGACCCTTATTGTATCTTGGGACATATTTCAAAGTCACAAACATAACAAACACAAACAAAACGTATTACGGGCGCATTTTGTAGCATAAATTAAAAAATACATTAAATGTATTTTTTATACATTTAATGTATTTTTTTAATTTATGCTTCCTACATCTTAGTCCGAATCTTAGCATTGCCGTAACACCTTTGATTATAATGATTATATACTTGTAAAGTAAAGTATATAATCAAAGCGTAACACTAAAGGGGTGGAATTGGGGGTGGATCTTCATTTCTTCATGAGACTTCGGAGCGGTGATCTGCAGCATTAAATTTTTAATTAGCTTTCTTGGACTAGCCGTGATAGCTCAGATAGTTAGAGCCGTGATAGCTCAGTGTCCGGGCGCTCGCCTTTAGTTCAATATATACTCGAGCAACCTGAGTTCGATCCCCGGTGCCGGCACCAATGAAGTTTTTTAACTTTAAGTGCTGAATTATCACGTGCTCCGCGGTGAAGGAAAACATCGTGAGGAAACCTGCATATTTTTCGAAATATTAACAAAAAAAATGTATTTCGAAAATATGTGAAGTCCGCCAATCCGCAGTGGGGCCGCGTGGTGGACTATGCCCTGATACCCTCTGTATAGAGGAGGCCTTGCCCAGCAGTGGGACATGTATAGGCTGTTACTTTACTTTTTTACTTTTCTTGGACTACCTGTCTAAAAGATTTACTTAGTTTTTAACTATTAAGGGTAAATAGGAAAACATATGAATGAAAACATGCCTGTATAATTTAAATTAATACATATAACCATAATAAATTAGTACATAATATTATATTACGTATCTTCGTATTAATCGAATTGTTATAATTGAAACAACTAACCGTTCATTTGCTGCCATCTGTTGTTGAGTAGAAAATAAAACTTTAAATGATTACGAAGAATTAAAAAATCATTAATTCCAAAGGATAAAAATATTCGAATTTATTAAACACAATTATGTACACCGAAACTAAAAGGTATTTTTCAGTAAATTTAAGACCTTTATGTATTATCTATGTATTACAGTCAAATAAATAATAACAAAGATAGAGCAATCAGCGACATCTATAAACATAAAACACTTACACGTGTAATTATCGGCCTTTCTTTAGTTTCGTTTTCGCTTTGACCTAATTGTAGCTTTACTTAAGTTTTGTTTAAAAAAAAATGTCTTTTGGACATAATTATGATTTTATAATTACATTATTTTTGCAATATCATAAATTTCTTTAATATTATTAAACCCGTTAAAATTTCTAGGAATCTCATTTCTTTTAATTTTTCACCATGTTATTTTTTATTTTTGTTTATTAAAATAAAAATTAAATAATCAGTCTAAATAATTATACAATGTAATATCTACGTAATTATATATAAGTAATTTATAGGCAAATATACTCTTTAGTATAATACAATCACTAAATAGTTATTACATATACTAAGCGGGAATCGATCATAATACAACCGATAAAAATAATTACTGAACATTTGTTACCGCGGCTTCTTTTGATCTTTTTGAAAGGTTACCGCCGCGCCTCAAGGAGTCGTCATTTTCGAATTCGTATTTCATTCTGGGCGCAAATTTAAAGAAGAAAGGTTGGCGGCAGTTATTTCGAAGTTACTATATTTATGTCTCTGGTAAATATTTTATTATAATTGTTTTGTTATATTCAATTCAACTATACTTAAACCTATATAATAAATACTTTGACGCCATATAAAATGTTTATGCTCTCATTGGCTTTATTTAAATATTGTTTTGTTAAATTTTTATCAATAGTTCGAATAGTACATGCAAATGAATTTTATTGTTCAATTTCCCGTAACATACGTAGTGCTATAAGCAAAGAATTTCTTACCGGCTATTATGATATAGAAATTTCTGTTCGAGACAACGTTTAAATATCGAGTATATTATATTTCTCAGAGCGATGATAAAATACTTAAGATTTTCAGTTTCTTAAGATAATAAGATTTTCAGTAGTATAATATTTATTTTGAAATTTTAGTTATTCGGAACCCCATTCTCCATTTTAAAACTAATTATAACCCCATCACGTTCTTCAAACTTTTAACTTGTTATGTTTCTTTACTATTATTATTTATATTTTTTTGCTATTAATACAATAATTTAAATAATAAATTTAAAGCATTATTGTTATTAAGTTTGTAAATTGATTAACCCATTTTTTTTAAGAGAAAGATGGCTGAATATATTATTCGTGGACTTAGAACATAATATAATTTGTTTACAAATTTATATGTTTTGTAGAAATGATAATTGATATTATTTCAGAAGACAATGTGCCATTCAAAAAGTTTGTTGGATTATATGACTGAAATGAATCGACTATTTCCGAAGACAAGTGAAAATGGTAAGTTCTTTTTTTGAATTATCTTTTTAATTTTACGTTGTAAAATAAATATTTAAAACTATTTTATTAGACTACTTTTAATACAATTGAACAACTTTACGTTCTTTATATTTACTAATAAATTACTTTGTTTTTTTATGTAAATTGTAATAACTTTTTTTTCTTTTGAGTCAAACAAAGATTTAATAGATAATTCTCTTTTTCTAGTAAGTTTCCATCAAAATTCCATTTGCATAAAAATATCTTTATTTTGCCATATGCCACATAACAAAATTGAACTGAAGTTAAAAAAAGGGGAAACAAAATAATTATCACATCATGACAATCTAGAATAAATATCAAATATTTTGCATGTATAAAGCAAAAGATATTTACAATATTGATAAAGCTAACTAAGGTTGTGAATAGATAATAATTCCTTTTTTTTAAATAATCTATCTCTATCTTATATTAATATTGCTTTCATTAAATTATTAGAAATATTTATCAAACCTTAACCATTTCATGTTCTGTATTGAAAATTTTAATAATTTTTACTGTTATTTAAGAAAAATGTTTTCTTTTATGTTGTTGTATTCATAACTTATCTCTATTATATTAATATTATATATCATTGATTTTACATTAAAATATGAATGTTCTTTTGCCTTGTTCCTTGATTATTTTCTGTTGCCATAAGTGGTTTTATACTTTGGTATTTTTTATGAGTAATAGAGAGATCCACAAAAAAGTTCTCTTTGTTGCTTGGGTTTATAGAAATATATTTTAGAATGCTTGTTTCTTTGTTAGTGCAGTTGGTGTTGTATGGTTATAAACTTTATTTATATTATGCATTAAATTATTTTAACTATCATGTGACAGTAATAAAAATAGGAAATTTGGGTAAAATAATACTATGTGAAAAAAAAACTTTAAAAACTTTTGCTGAAATATTAATAACTAATTATTTAATTGACACTGAGACAGTGTGATACAGTTTTATAAATGACTCCAAAATAGTCCAAAATATTAAATTTAAATATTTGTGACTTGTTTGATGAGAGGAGAGAGACATTTGCTGCCTGGCATCTTCCTAACCTAAGCAGCAATGAAATTGAAAATTGAACAGTCAACAGTATATTAAAGCTTTTGATAGATGGCGCTGTTTTGTATGGAAGCATAAATATGAAATACTTAATTCTTAATTCCTCTATTCGTTTCCTGGCGGGAAATTTGAAATTATATGGTACTGTACTACAGTACTTTATTATAGTATATCATTTGGTTACAAGATGTTTTATTAATATCCGAGATTAAAATTTAATTTATTTCCGTTCAAGTTACTATACAGTTTGGTTTACGGTATGTTTTGATTTATTTTCAGATCTGTTACATTCAACAAATTCATATAGCACTTACTCGCAATCTCCGTTATATTCGGCATTCGGTAACCGCTCGTCGAGTTCGGCCGACTCCACGTCGCCAGAGTCCTACTCTGATCTTTTCGCGCCGAGGCCAGCATCTGAACTGTACAACGTAAGATCCGACACGCCGGTCCAAAGCTTACCTTGTGCGATACCGACGAGAAAACAGCGCGCTATCGTGGGAAGGAAAATTTTGGGTAACACCGAGCATACGCAGCGTTCGCATGCGAATAAAACAGCCGAACAGGAATTCGCTTTGAGCAATGCTTGGGCCGACAACCTCTCTATCACCCCACCGGGTGCTTTCGAGCAAAAATATCCAGGAAGAAATTACGAATTGTTCCCGAACGATAAGGGCTACGTTCCGCGAACTCCAAACAAAAATATCATGACGAGTTTGACCCCTACCGCGTCGAATATGTCGCCAACGTTCTCAGCTACGTCCGGAATGTCCATAGCATCGGCGCATTCGCCTCAACCGATGCACGTTTTCGGCCAGAGGTACCCAACGCCTCCGCGGTTTACCGGTTTCTCGCCACCGACATACGGGGCCGGTTCCTCGAAGGCCGACGAAATCGGTGCGTCGAAGATGTGCACGTTCTGCCGCAAGAACGGTGAAACCGCACTGGTTTATATGAACCACTCGGTGAAGGAGAAGATTGGCAGCCAAAATGTTGTCACATGTCCAATATTGAGGTCGCACGTCTGCTCCATGTGCGGCGCGACTGGCGACACTGCCCATACAATGTGAGTGAATTAAAAGGTTTTTATAATGATTTTTGTTAACAGGAATACATGAGATGCTCCAAGTGTGCAAAAATTATTTGAAATGAATAAACAGGCAGTGATTTTATTCTAAATGCTGGGCCACTCAGCAGTTTAATGTTGCACAAATGGGTAGACTTGTCCAGGGAAGTATTTATTTATTTAAGCTTCATAGCTTAAGCTAAGAGCTACAACCTCACAGAAGAATGGTGCAAAGTGGAAGTGTTACATTCTACTCTTCATACTCATCGTCTTGTGAGTGAAGGAACTGATGCCCACTTTGGTTGCAATGTATCTGCAACCCTACAGGTGTTCCGAATGTCCATGAGTGGCAGCTATCCACTCCCTTACCAAGGTGAACCACCAGCTCACTTGCCCCCTTCTGACATAAAAAAAATCATTTGATGTTAATTTTTAAAATTTTTAGTTATTAGTAATTTAATATTTTACATATATGACTGAATCATGAATTAATGCAAAGTTGATTGACTGGTTTAGGAGGTTTTTAAGTTTATAAGTAAGTAATAGAACATTGTTATTGTCAAACATTCATGGTGTGTGTGTATTTGGAGAAAATCAATCACTATCACTTACATAGAGTTCTCATTTTCAGTACCTACTGTCCTGTAATGCGCAGTACGAACAATGGTAAACGTCTGCAGTCGACAACCATCACACTGAAGAATACACGCATTAAGAGTAATGGAAGGCGACGCTATTAAAGCGATAACCGAGTTTTAAGCTGGGATTTTACTATGATCTAAGATAATAAATATTATTTCCCAGGAAAACAACCGTAACAACCGAATAAAACCGTTAATTTCAGTGTTTAATGGCACTCTCTCACTGATATGTACTCATATTTTAAAATTGCATTACCTCCCATATGTAATGATGAAAATGCTCTTTAATTTGTTCACATAGCCCCCAATATATATCTACATATTTCTTCCTGGAGGCAATATCCATGTATTGTAATAAGTTTTAAAATGATCTCATATAATTGTTACATTTTTATTTGTAAGTTATATGATTATTTACGTGTAGTGTAAGCATAATTGAGATCTTTTTTATTTTAATTATTGACCTGAGTTTGCTATATCGCATTCCCATTTGAGACTGATTGAGTTTTGTAATCACTTTTTAATGTATGACTAATATAACTTATATAAATGCCATAATTATGATAAACATATGACAATTGCAAACATACAACCATCAAAATAATCTGGATCACTGTATGTGTCTTTGCTGTAAATATATTGTTATTGTTTGTATTTTAGATTGAACAGTTTTAAAGTGTTCCCTAAAATAATGTTTTAAGTTCAGTGCTGCCATGTTATAAAGTCTACAATGTATAGCAGATTATGAATCTGAAACAACTAACATTTTTTATGGTTAATAATTTAGAATTTTTTTGATAAACACTTAATTGTTAGGACACTTATGTGTACTTCTAAGAATAGTTGTTTAAAAAAATGAATAATCAAAACTGAATCGCTTGACGACGACCAAATGTAAAATAGGTATGGTACGCTTTTACAGACTGACTTTTTATTTTAATAAATAAAATCATGATAGTTTTGACGAAAATTTCTTGAATCATATTGACATAATTACTGTATCTTCTGACTTACATCGTTTAGAATAGGCTTAATAAGTTTTTTAAATTTTTTGAAGTTGATACTTTAACTGTAACTTGTAATTTTAAAAATTAGAAATATGCAGCTAACTATAAGGTGTTATGGAATTAGTCTTAGACGAAATAGCTGCAAAAACTTCAAAAATAGTTATCTTTATGCAATGATTTAAAAAAAGAATAATTTATTTTTGATCTTTACACTAATAATGACATATATAATATTGTCGTGAGACAAGAAAAGCTCTGAATATTTTCAGATATATCTACAACTAGTAGCTAGTTGTAGTTTTTATCTTGTGTGGTATAAATATTGAGAACGTAAAAATTTCACTTGGTTTTTGTAATGTTTCTGGCATATATACAGAGTATTTTTTTAGACGAAGTACATATTGACATCATGCTAATTGAGCATTCCACAATTAAAAAAAATTCTTTGAAAAAAGAAACTTAGGTCACAAGTATGTACCAGATTTAGAATCGGAATCTGCATACGCTCTATTAATATGTGCGTCGTCTATAAAATCATCCTGTATATATATTGTCGTCCTCTATAAAAACACAATTGTATTTTTATATAATGATAATTTTAATACTATGCTGTATGCAAAAATGTTATTGAAATTTCTGTTGAATGTTTTTATGATTGTGGATGAGATAAGAAGAAAATATCATGTTGATCACAATAAGTGAGTGACATTGGGATGTAATTAAAAAAATCGCTCAAACCTTTCCAAGCAAATAATATTATATACAAAAAAAAAACGATTTACAAAAAGACATTACCGCGCGCAAAATGAGGCACTAAACTACGACAATAGTTTTAATTGATAAGTCTATCTCTTTCTGTATCATTCGTTGTATATCAACTGTCATAGAATGATGAAAAGCGGAACAATTTTTAAAAGCCGCGGTATGGATGTGCTTCAACCTTATTAAAACTTAATTGTTTCCATTCATGATGTTGTATATGTTTAAATATTTTTAGAATTTCTAGGGCTATTTGGCGAACTTTCTTTAATCTTTCATAATATTCCGATTCCTAATGCGTTTCTATCCGCCTTTTAATGAAATTTTCCACGATTTTTTTTGTTTCCACTTAGGATTAATGAATTAGATTTAAGTCTTGTTGATTTATAGAATGGCATGTTGATTTTGTTAATTACGGATTGTTTTCCTCGATTGGTTTAATGTCTTTGTAATCCTTTCGGAAAGTACATTGGGTACATACTATATTTTAATTGCTTTTACTAAAGAATAATCTTTTGAAGATTTTCATAATATATTTTAAAGTACAAAAATGAATTTTCATTTTCTCCATTTTTATAGTCTATTATTGAATGTTGCTTATCCTATACTGTGATAGAGCTATGCTGCGACCGCTGGTGCTCGAATTAATCTCGTAAAATCCAAATCTTGATGCCTAAGTTTTTAAGATGGAATCTAAGTTTTTACGTTAAGTACCGTACATAATGTTTAATTTTCACTGCTTAAATGTTCATTATCTACTAATTTTCTTGAGAATACTGCACTTTTACGAACGTTAACTTGGTTCATTAGTAACATTCTATTGGCTTTGTTGTTTTGTCGACAATTTTTGTTAAAACCACATGAGATAGTTATACTCCACCCAATACTCCACATTCCATAGTATGGACATTGAAATTTATAATAGATTTAGTAGTTACATTTTTTATTACCGTCTCTAATTATTAGAATATTGATACAGCCCCATTTCATCATCATTTTAGCCTTTAAAGAGTCCACTTCTAAACATAGCCCTCCCACACAGACTGCCACGAAGCATGATTCTGAGCCTATCTTCGATATTCACTCCATATAGGGGATCATCCTACACTTTGTACAACAGTACTCCTAAGCTAACCCATTTATTAGCGCCAAAAAGGTATAAGCTGTCCTTTATAATAACAAAATATTAGTAATGCAAATAAGTGGTATTTGGAAGTACCTAATATTTTGGCACTTGGGATTTGTTTTTAAAAAATGAAATAATTTAACGGATTATTACGAAATGAAGAAAAAAGATTTGTGTACATAGCTTTACCGTATGTATATAAGTTATATGTAAATTGTTTTGAATTCTCCTAAATACGATGTAAAAACCTTTATATCATACGTACAGGAATAGAAGCTACGGATACTTTCTATTTTTAGTTTTCTTCCAGGGTCACAGACAAACATTATATCTTAAATGTTCCACGTTCATCTGCCTTTGAAGTATTTATTTTTAAGTGATTTTGAATATTTAATTCGTGGCCAAAGCTTTATATTTTGTGTTAAATCATGTTGGCTTACGACTGGCCTATAGACACTGAAAAATTACCAGTAATGCGTATAGTGACTCCACGCAATGTTGTTATGTCTGGAATATATGGAATGTGAGTATGAATTTAAAATGATAAAAACGATTAACACCTACAATATCAAAATTTTATTTCAATTCGTTCAATTACTATTGGTTGGCCGAAATATTTACATGAACAATAATACTAACCATAGTTTGTGACTACCGTTACAGTGAAGATATAAATGACAGCTTGCTGAAAAAGAATTTAATAATTAGTAAATTAATCAGGAAATTTTTAAATTAACCTAAATGAACCATTATTTTTAAATATAAACAAAAATAAATACTTTAAACTATGTAAATACGTTGGTTGAGCTGTTTCGGAAACATCTTTCATGAAAAGATAGGTAATGTCAGACGCTACTGAAATGTCAATTGTATTGTAAATGAAAATGACATAAAAGTCAATTCAAAATCAAAATATTGCAAATTTTTCCTTCAGTAAGTGTTTTCATCAGGCATATTTAAATTTGTTATGAAATGAAAATCAATTAATTTTAAAAAGTACACTAAGCAGCAAAAAATGAGTGCATCAAAAAAAGGATCAGCCGATGGCGGTGTCAATAGTCAAACCGTACAAGAAGTAGACGAAAGTACAAGACCCGATTTTATATACGGCGGTCCTTTTATAAAAGTTGAAAAACCTAATCCATTTATAAATACAACTACGCCCTTAAATTTGCAGCTGCAAGGCACTTTCAAAAAGTACGTACCTTCATACTTTTTTAAATTCGCTATTTTCGAATTATTTGTTTTTATATAATCTTTTTACAAACATCACTTTTTTATTCGACTTACTTATCAGTTTTATGTGTAAAACTTATCCAAGTAATATTTGTATATTTTATAATGTCTATAAAATAACATTAAAAGGATGTGTTACCTGATGCATTCTGAGATAAAGAAAAAGTTATTAAAAAGATCTATTAATCAACACTAATTTTTTAGTGCAGCGAGTGTTCTTGGATTTGGCTTGGAATAAATTGATTAGATAATATGTAATTTTAGATAGTTTTAATCTTGTATATATTAGATAAATTGATCAATTGTAGCATAGAAATTTCCAAATAAATTTAAGGAGAAATGTTAACTGCGGCTTGCATCTCAGTTGATATCTTTAAACTTAAATATATTACTTATCATGTCTTTATATATCTTTTACTAATTAAAAATAAAAGAATGAAAAATGAACCAATTTGAAAAATATCTTTTTTAGCTCTGAGTTCTTAAGTTGCGCACCCAATTGTGGAGTAATTGATATAAATATCAATGTTCAATGTTATTTCAAGGTTAATAAGATCCAAATTTTTTTTTATTTCAAAAAATACATAATGGAAAATTTTGTAACAGTCTTGTCACTATGATTAGTATTTTAATTTTAAATTAATATATTTTTTTTTTTCATTTTGTTTGTGATTAATATTTGTTGTATATAATTATAAATAATTTTATGTAATGTGAGAATAACTTAAGTAATTTCAATAGTTCTGATACAGCCCGGATAGCTCAGTCGGTAGAGCATTGGACTTTTAATCCAAGGGTCCAGGGTTCAAGTCCCTGTTCGGGCGGCAAATCTTTTTGTTCGACTTTTTTATCTTTTTTTCTTATTTATTTCATTGTTTATGGTTTATTTTATTAATGCCAGCATAATTTTTTTATCTTGTTATGTTTCTGTGGATTCCACTTTTTTAAGTTTTATTTTTAAACAAATGTTTTTAAAAAGAACATAAAACAATAATAAAAAAATAATCAATACACTAATTGACAATATTAATATGCGATTTTATGGTAAGTTTTCTTTTAATTAGGTAATGAAGTTTTTCAAATAAATTAATTTTTTTTGCCCTAGAATATATTATGGTATCTACATACATTCTTTGTTAGATTCATACTATTCCAATTCACCATAAATTTTTTACTAACACCCGTGTAAATAAATACTGATATATTGAAACCGTGACGGTCGTGCCATCGCCTGTTTTTGTTTTTAAAAAAAAATCTTGTTCGTTACAAATAAAAGTAACGAGCTATTACGTAAGTTCGAGCAATACCACGTCATTCTCCTATTATAAAAATTGTTTGAATCCTGTTAAATTCCTGTTAAGAAAAGTTATAAATACTCATCGTAAATGTCGTACAATTCGTGTGTTTATTATTCTTATTATAATGTTTGCAACTTTGTCACTTGGATCTAATGGCGGATTTAAATCTTCTCAATTGTGCAACGTGTCGAAACTTAATTAAAACGAAAATTACTTTATTCAATAATTATACTAGTGATAAAGCCAGATAAAAAAGTTAAATAGATAACCTATTTCTATAAGTTCCAAATGCGTTACACGTTATATCAATTTTATTTTGAACTGTTTTATTTAGTTTAGCTTTAGATTAACTAGAAATAATTATTCAAAATTAAATAAATCAATTTCAAGCTGGCCGATGCGCGGGCGATCTTGTGAAGATCGTTTGTATAAAACCGGCCAAGTCTGAGTCGGACTCGCGCACGAAGGGTTCGGTGGCGTATAAAACGGCATAAATCATGTCTGGAGCCCCACTTAAATATTTTTAATTCTGTTTTTTTAGTATTTGTCGCTGTAGCGGCGACAGTAATACATCATTTGTGAAAACTTCAACTGTCACGGTTCATAAGATACAGGCTACAGCCTGGTAACAGACCAACAGATGGACAGACGGACTAGCAGCGGACTCTTATTAATAGGGTCCCGTTTTACCCTTTGGATACGGAACCCTAAAAAACTTCTCATCAATTTTGGATTTTAAGCAACTTCTCTTAAGATAGATTTTCATTTCGAATATACGAAAATTTCGGTTAAGGTCTGTTCGGTCTGTTGCACTAATGGGCAGGTCCGTGCGGGTTAGTACCACGACCTCACAGAAGACCGGCGCGAAGTAGAGGTGTCGCACTTCTGCGTTTCGTCTGGTGAGTGAGGTATAGCCGGGGCCCACTTTATTAAGAAGTATCAACGCATCTGCAACCATACGGGAGCTGCCAATCAGGTTTTCTCTTATTTACAGTGCTCCATAACGTAATTGCTTTAAACTCACAGGAGCTTCGCGTACTACTCCCTCAAGGAGCGGATGCCCGTCATCCTAACGAAGGTCATCGACTACCTGTCCAGGGAGGGGGCCAAGGTCAAATCGGCCCACGGAGCGGTGAGTTACTCGCAACTGAACTATTCGATAGCGGCTTAATGAAATATTTGACAAATCTTGTAATTACTATAGAAATATTACGGTACATATTGGTACGGTACCACACAATTGGTGGTAGTTTTTATGTTGACGTTCAATAAGAGCTTAAGTTAAGCCTATCCTTACTAATATTATAAAGGCGAAAGTTTTTATGTTTGGATGGATGATTGTTTCACACAAAAACTACTGAATAGATTTTAATGAAACTATAATAATATAGCTTATACATCAGAATAGCACATAGGCTATAATATATAAAGATATTGTGTGAATTGTACAAAATATAGGTAATGATAAGTGTCAACTAAGTATTATGTAATAAAAGACTCATTGTTAATTCCCTCTGACCGCGCGGGTGAAGCCGCGGATAACAGCTAGTGTTGAATAAAGATACTTTGACTTTGACTTAACTGGGTGCCCTCAACAGAGCGATCAGGACGTCGTGGAGCTGATCCAGTACATCAACAAGCTGAAGAACGACCTGATCACCAACAAGAAGTACGACCCGCTGACCGTGGACAGCCCCGAGGCCAGGAGGTGGAACCAGTGGATCCAGGATGCGGAGAACCAGCACTACTTCACCAACGTCTGGGTGTTCACGGAGTGTTACGTGTACAGGAGGCTGAGAGAGGGATGCGAGCTGAGGTAAGGGATCACACACTTCTTTTCGAGTCGAAATAGCTATTTAATTTCCTTTCGACCAGTATTTGGCCGCATCCACCGCTAAATAATTCACTTCAAAAAGGTCTTCAAAAAGACAAGGTTGATCATACAATTAAAACAAATAAATGTTTTCTTGTTTTTACGTCAATACTATACATTTTTGAATGAAACTATTTTACGGATTCCGTCCCGTAACAATGAACGCTGGAAAGGGTTAGAAACGTCGGGAATTTACATATCTAATTAAACGCGATAAAATAGTTTCATATAATAAAAAATTGTTTTTTTTTTTGCGAACTATCTCAGTTTTGAGACAACTGACGAACAAATCAATTTTCAGCAGACAATTTTCTTTAAATAGTCTTAATAATTATGTGGTGACCATCCAAAGATTGCCTGTAACAAATTCAAATTCAACAACAACAACTTATATTAAACTAATCTAAACTAATCTATAAAAGTTTTAAAGTATCACTGTTTTATGATAAGTTTTATTTGTTCAGTTCTAGTCTCAATCACGATGAAATTTAAACTGTCAAATCTTTGTTGATGGTCAAAAACTCACATTTTAACGTATTTATTGTCAATGCAACAAAGAATATTCGTAGTGTATGAAATGAAATATGTACATAAAAATATGTATACAGGGTGACTTTTATAAGTGGTGCCCAAATTCACACAGGAGGTTCAGACTCGGTAGTATAATCGTTTATTGAAATGAAAACAACCTTTTTTTTTTTTCAAAAAAATTCCCATTCTATTCCCTATAAAGCAGAAATTGTTGACAATGGTCGTCAATGGTAGTCATTCATAAATGCGTCGTATACTTTTGAAACGAACTTGTGTGCGTGTTAGTTATGAATGATCGCGCGTAAAATGAAGGAGTTGCCCATAAATCACGCACTTTCTGAGATAACTTCAAATGAATGTAATTAATTAATTACGAGTGATTTTAAATATTTATCATTTTGATATAAGTTTATTGAAGTGAAACTTCTTTATCGGGGTTGGAAAAAAATTTAGTGTAACATTTTTCCGTTACGCGCCATCTTTTTCTTATCTTATAACCTCTAACGCCATCTAGTGTTGAATAAGGGGTTTTATGTCGTCTTTATTCTTTAGTGGTTTTTATAGTTGACGCTAGATGGCGTTAGTTTCTGCGATCGGTCATAACAATATATATTCTATAACAATATAATAATTCTAATTCTAAAATGTAAACAATAATATTTCGTATTTCAGTTACCATAAGCCATCAATAACACAAATATATAATAACGACATCAATGATAGTAATAATTGTATTACAATTAATGAAATTCAATAATAATATTTGTAGTAATGACAGTGCTAGCTCTAATACTTCAGAGCACGACACTGTGTAGACTTCCTCTTCTCCAAATTGTATTTTGTATTTTGGGTCCGTGAGGTTAGTTGAAATAAACAAGGTTCACGTTGCAAGTTTTTTAATCAACAATTTTTGCGGACCCTCATACTAATAACAACGGTCAAACCATAGTGTGTTTTAATTTATTACTAACGCCACCTATGTATTACAAATAAGAAACTAAATATTATACAAAGCTAAAATGAAATAATTGTAGAATTTGTATTTATGTCTATGATAATAAAAGCCTTTTATTAAACTTTATCTAATTTAACTTTATTTAACCAATTTCTGTAAAATTGCATATTGTAAATTATTTTTTGAAAAATAACGTCATAAAAAAATTTCACTTCCTACGAGTGTACGCTAGTACACGCACACATTTTTTTATGTCTAGAATTTAATAAAAAATGGATACACTTGAAAAGCCTCCCTGTATAAATTATAGCCTATGTGATATTATGATGTATAGACTATATTATACTAAAGATTCATTAAAATCCATTCAGTATTATTTGCGTGAAAGAGTAACAAAAATCCATCCGTACATACAAACTTTCGCCTTTATAATGTTAGTAAGAAGTAAGATGTAGTTGTGAATATTACTGAGAGATAAGGCAGCGGTTAGAGTCCCAGATCCGAGCTTTAGGTTCTGCCGGAAGGTCACCGATAACCCTAACGTCTGACGACCAGCAAGGGCCTGAAGAACTTCGACCCGTTTGAAGATCAGAAGCGGAGGTCGTTCAAGGGCGCGCTGGAGCCGATGTGCGTCGTGGCCGACAGGCTTGTCAGCATACTGCCGCCCAGCGACAAGGACAAGAGGCGAACGGACTTTGCCACATTGCTCAAGGTATGCAAGGTGACGATACTGTTGATCAAAAAAACCGACACATCAAACAGGAAACCAAAAAAGGTTGTTAGTCACCTTTAACATTTGAAGATTGCCCTCGATTTCTCTGGGATGCCATCATCAGATTCGGGTTTCTTTATAGTACCACACTTGGGATATCTTCTTTCCAAAAAAAAAGAATCATCAAAATCGGTTCATAAATGACGAAGTTATCCGCGAACACAGATAAAAACCCACTTCTCAGAGCGACAGGTAAAGAAAAAGAGACGAACGGACTTTGCGACATTGCTCAATAGCAATGTCGCTTCAGTAGGTGATTTAAAACTCCCTTGTCTAGTCCAAAATTTTCGGTTATACCAGTTCTCTGAAAACCCACTTCTCTCCCAATCATTGAGAGCGTCAGTTAAAGAAAAAGAGGCGAACGGAATTTGCGAAATTGCTAAAGGTGACGAAAAGCCTCCTTGTCTAGTTCAAAATCTTTGGTAATATCAGATCTCTGAAAACCCACGTCTCTCAATGTATTGTGGGTGGCGAAAATTCCCCTTGTCTAACCCTCGTCCTCTAAGTCCTCGATGAACCCGTTTTCTGAACCCAATTATATGGCCGAAGGTTATTCAGAAATAATAGGTGTGGTGGATACATTAATTGACACAATAAATTCGTTAATGACGTGTATATCGTTCCAGACTTACCTTTTTTGCTATAACTGACAATGAATATCCACTTTATAGTATGTAATACCTACTTTTTGTTTCGCAGATTTGTCTATGGGCAAACAAGTGCGACCTCTCGCTGTCTATGGGAGAACAGGTATCCCTGAATAATCCCGACTCTGGGCAAACACAAGCATTGTCCTTCGTGGATCCCTTCCAAATGATAGTGGACTTTAAGGACAAGGTAATAAAGACTGCTTTGCTATTTCTGAAATTGACAGGGTATATTTTAACCGACAGGCGAAAGAGTAATGTTTTTCGGACGTTTATGTATGTCTAATTCCATGGCACGCTCTACAGCCATAAGCTGTCATAAGATATGTCTAAATTTTTTTTAATTAGACTATATGAGAGTTTTGTTTTCGTTAATACACTAAACAAACAATTAAAAAAAAATAATACATTAATTTCCTCTATCAGGTCTTAGTCGACGACTCCAACAAAATCTGCGATCAAATCGTAGCCAAGGCGGAGGCAGTCGCGAAAGCTATAGCCGGGGTAAGTGCGTGGTATTTAGTGTTGGGAGAGATGGTAGAGACGGTAATTAATGGACTTAGGAAGTAAGTTTCATAAAATGATACAACGCGACGGTTTAAATTCATGTTGTGGGAACATATCAGTTATTACTCACTGCGGATCTTACTCGACGCGGATCTCGCAATTTGAAGACCTTACCGATCGCGGATGTTATCAGTTGTTCTAAGCGAAGTAATTATAGTTGGATTATCATTGATGTAATCATTGACGTATACCACCACGTGCACAAGTAACGCCTTTCATAAACAACGCAAATATCCTAAACATGGATCTCCGCAGACGACCACACTTCGCCTCACTTTTATTTGGGACTATTAAAAACAAAGAGCCGTTATATCTTTACAATAAGTTGATTTGGGCTAAAGATCAAAATGAGATGTATAATACAAGATCATCTAATTATAAATTAGTTTATCCTTTCTACCGTTCGGCCGCTTTTAGAGGCAGTTTCAAATACAATGCCACTAAGTGCTGGAACAACCTCCCGCCTCCCTTGCGCGACCTGAAGACAATAAGTGGATTTAAAAACAAGTACAGATTATATCTGCTTGTAGAACAAAAAAATACTGCCTGAAGATTAATAATACGGTGTAATATAATATAATGCAATTTGATATGATATAATATAATTTAGTATAATATGATATATACCTTATATTTTTATATGCCTGTACCATAAATTTATTTTTAAGTCAATCACTTTCTTACCTATATCACGTGGCCAACGCGCAACGAGGTTTGTCTCGCATTTGATGTTTGAAATTATTACACGTTTCCACCACTTAATCGTTAAGTGTCATAGTACCACAGAGTAGGGATAAACATTAGCAACCTAAAACCGAAATGAAAATATAGCAGCTGACACCATTATTAAAAAAACAAACATTAGTTTAATTTTTACTTACCTCATCAGACGAATGATAACCACTGTCTATATGAATGAAAGGTTCAAAATAAAAACAATTTAATTTTCGCTATACTGCGCTGTAGCTATTTTTTGCAAGGTCACTGTCGCAGCCGTCCGAGTTGCCTCGAAGTGCGGGCCGGACTGAAAACCGGTGTCGGGATCAGAACTAGTTACTGTATCTCGACTTTTACCGAGTCCCGTCCGTTTCACAGTCTTATGCTGCTACACAGACCGTCACTTACTGTTGTTATTTTGTTTGTTTTTTTTTTATGTTTACATTTATTTTAAGTTCCTGTGTAGTTACATTATTATTTTTAAGGTTTGTATGTATTCATTTGTTTTTAGACCGTGAATAAACGTTTCTTCTTCTTCTTCTTAATCCATGTTTATGTATGTGGTTTTTATTGTTTGCAGATACCAAATTAATATGATTAAATATGATTTGACGTCATTGCTATAATAAATATTGGCTCAGCAATAACGAATGAAATCGCTTTAGATACGCAGATAGTTAACGAACCGATATACGTTACAAAAGCTATCGTAAAATCCATGTTGTGTGAAAAACCACGTTATTACTCATCGCGGATCTGACTCGATACGGATCTTGCCGTTTGATCATGTTACCGATCGCGGATTATGTATGTGCGGATTTTATTATTTGGAGATTTAAAAAAAAATTATTAAACATAAGTTGATTGAAATGGTACAAATTAACACGACATTTTATAAACGTAAATAGTAAAATTTCCTCTCGTCTCATATATCTCGATAAAATTATTCATAATTCTACCGTAATAGCCCAGTATCCGGGTGCTCGCTTTTAACTCAATGTACTCGAGCAACCTGAGTTGAATAATCACGGCATCATTACCGATGATAATGTTGAAGCCAATTTTAAGTGTTGACTTGAAAGTGTTTTGTAGATATGTGAAGTCCGCCAATCCGCAGTGGGGCTGGTGGACTATGCCCTAATGCCCTCTGTGTCAGAGGCCTTTGCCCAGCGATGGGACTTATATAGGTTATTACTTTTTCTTGGTCGGTAATAATGTACAGTCCTTCGGAGATAACTATCCCTAGGTCTATCGTAGTAATTGCGCTACGCTCGTTTAGTTTAGCTGAGATTAGAGCGTCTTAGGTATTTTTCTATCTTATCACCCGATCGTCCAAGTCTTAGGTCTCACCACGTTACAGGATACCACATTCAAGTACCAATGCAGCTGCCATCGGTTGGCAGCCCTCTGTGGGATTCCAAAGTGCCCCGATAAGGTTCAACTTGTCACTTGTCACTTGTCGCGATGCAAATGTAGACTTCGACTCATGTTTGGATTAGTTAGATTCTTTTTGCACGGGACAAATAGACGTCCACCGATTTTAGTTTAGTTACTTCCTGTAGTCTTCATGCCTTCATCACAAAATAGTTACGGAGCCATGTTGTTAGCTAAAAGATAATAGTTCTTTTAGTGGTTAGCGATAGTACGTAATACTTACATAAACTTAGTCATCGTACTACCAAGTAGTTTTGAGATTTTAAGCTTAATTTTCTAGTTGCAGTTCATTGGAAATTAAGCTTATCTATAGTTATTTTACTTTATTTTAACAAAATGATGCTGTTTAAAATGAATGAGAGAAAAATCATATTAACAGTAATAAATGAAAGGTACATAATGCGAAAACTTTACGTTATTAGCAAAGGACGGAAGCTATGACATGACATTTGACTACTCGATTGGTGTAGTGGGTAGTAAACCTGCCTCTTACTTATCTAGAAGTGAAGTGTATTATCCATTTTGCTAGGAGCCCGTTGGGGAAAAGGTCGAATCCCCCCCACCGGAGGTCAAAGAGGGGGAGGTGGAGGTCGAGCCGAAAATACCGTGTCCTGCTAAAATGACCATACCCAGTGCCGTCATGTTCGGTAAGTCAAGTCGCCACCTGTTCTATGCGTATTAAATGAAACTATGTTTAACGGAATTTATCGCGTTGTAATTTTGATTTTCAATTCCCGACGTTTAGAACCCTTTCCAGCGTTCGTGGACACGGGGCAGACTGATTTGTTTCACGTCTCGTCATGCTTATTATTATTATTATTATTATTATTTTTTAACAATAGACTGTAGGATAACATTATCCTATGTTGTAAGGACGTTTTACAAACATAAATTTCACGCGGACAAACACCCAGATCCGAAGCAATCATCTGTCGCACTAATAGTTGTCCCGTGTGGGAATCGAACCCACGACCCCAACGCCGAAGCTAATACCTTGCCAACTGCGCCACTTGGTCACCATAATATATTTATTGTCTCGTTTGCACAGACATAGTGTGTGACAACGCAGGCTACGAGCTGTTCTCGGATCTTTGCTTAGCGCACTTCTTAATATCGCAGGGCATCGTCCAAAAGGTAAAGGTTGTTTGTACTTTTTGGCTTTTATATAAAAAATTGTTTATTTTTAAATATAAGATAGACCTCACAGAAGACCGGCGTGAAGTGGATGTGTCATACTTCTGCGTTTCGTCTGGTGAATGAGGTAGCCGAGGCCTACTTTATTAAAAGTCGACATGCAACTGCAACCCTACGGGTGTTATAAATGTCCAAGGTTTGCGTTTATCACTTAGCATCAGGTGAACCGCCAGCTCGCTTGCAACCTGCTCACATAAAAAAAATCACGTGGTTATCCAGCATAAGGGGATAGGATCCTCTCAAATGTTGGATCAATACATTAAAGCTGTGTGGCGAAAAGGAAAAGTCAAACAAACATACAGGTTTGCTAGTACAGTATTATTTCGGTTTTGGTTCCGTTCTCTATACTCTCTAGTATTATATATTAAATGAAAAATTATATATGAATGAAGAAAACAATATCTCTAGTATTATTCAATACTCTCTTTCGCTTCTCTATTTTCTTCCGTTTTTATTGTATCCCCTCCTTTCTGTTGGAACCCACAAGTTACAGTCTTATCATTATTCTAGGTCAGGTTCCACGTGAAGAAAATACCGTGGTTCGTTTCCGACGTCACCCCGGCTGATTTCAAGTGAGCCCTCTATAATATAGACACTTCTAGATAATACACATATTATGTAGACTCTAATATACTTATAGACACGAAGGCTATAATGTAGACACTTCAACTGTGGCCGTGCAAAAGCAACAGGACACGTATGGGCTAGCTCGACCGGGGACCTACGTACCGTAGCCTATGTTTATACTTTTGCGCTTCGTTTGGTAAGGTAAATATCATTCTCTTGGTGGAAGGAAACCTGCCTGCAAAGTTTCTAATGTTATGGGCTTCCATGTTAAGTTGGGACCGCCAAGTCTTCTTTAGAGGATAGAGATAAACTGGAGAATAGATAAAAAGCAGCATGTCATGACGATATGATAGCAATTAAGTTTGTAAAGAAGCTGGAACTATCGATACTGACGAATGGAAGAAAAGAGCAGTTTGAGAATACGTATTGATGAATACAATTGAATTTCAAACGAAGGTGGAGCGACCGATAGAGATGAATGGAAGAAAAGAGCAGTGTGTGATTATGATTTCATGACAATAATTAAATTGCCAAAGAAGGTGGAGGGACCGATAGAGAAGAATAGGAGAAAATAGCAGTTTGAAATGACGATTTGATAACAACAATTGAATTTCCAACGAAGGTGGAGCGACCGATAGAGATGAATGGAAGAAAAGGTGGAGCGACCGATAGAGAGGAATGTAATAAAAGAGCAGTTTGAGATGACGATCTGATGCGGGGACTAATGTTTCAACAAATGGCACAAATGAATCTTAAAGACTCAACGAACGCCGTGGAGCGATACCCCGATGAGAGGAGCCAAAGTGAATGGCGTCCCAAAAAGGGAGCAGGGTTTGTTAAAAATCGCGACGAATGACTAAAAGTGAATTTTCAACGCCAGCACTTTTTTGACAAGAAAGCCCGTGGAGAGCGACAAGGGCCGTTGACAAATAGATGCGTAATGTAATGGAAGTAAAAAGAACTCATTCTTTAGATGACGAATTTGATTTGACTATAATTGAATTTAATGAGAATGGGATGAATGGAAGAATAGATAAAGAACAGTTTGGGATGACACTTTGATGAATTCAATTGAATTTCAACGGAGACTGTTTTCTCTTGCCCGATGGTCAGAGAGTTCAGTGTCTATTGAAAAAATAAAACTCGCACAGAAACGAGGACATGAAATTATGTACCTCCTGTTTTATACGTCAAATTTGAAAATCAACATTTCACGCTCTCTTGCGGCTCAAGCCGGTTGACCGATAACATTACTTTTTTATCAAACGCAGGTACACAATTGATTCGTGTAAGAACGCAAATTACAAAAAGGAGTTGCCGCCGGAACCGAAGCCCGGTAAGTGGTCTATTCAAATCTTTAGTTCTATGATTGTTTCTCATACTGCGATGTAGGTGTTTCTAAATCCGTGTAGGAATGTACACCTGAATGCCGGAAATTATAATCTACTTTACTTTAACTAATGAACGCAGAACTTTCGAGATAGCTAGATTCTAGATTGATACGGCCCTTTGCGTTGGGGCAAATGTGCTTATGCGTTATATATAACGGGTGAACCGCCAGCTCCTTTGCCACCTTCTCACATCACAAAATCAAATTTCATACAGTCGCCCCTTCCAGAGGCGACCGAAGGGGAAACTACGGAGTCCCCCCCACCTAGAGTCCTGAACGCAGACAGCCTGAAAGAGCTGGGTGAAGTATGGAGCAAGTACGTGGAGGAGGGTACTTTTATCGTGCTGGTAGGTGCCACCTCTAACGGTGTTGTTTCTTATAAAGATGGGTTTGTAATGAGATTATTAAAATTAACTAATGTCTTGAACACAAAAATTTGTAGAAAAATGGAAACTAGCGGCGGAGGAAAACTTTTCGTCCATTTTTCTTTATTGAATTAGGCTTTATTTGAGCTCTTATTGTACGTCAAAATAACTACCATTGGTTCACTAAACTAGAGCTGATCAGAGAAGAACCGGCAAGAAACTCGGCGGCAAATATTCTTTGAAAAAAAAAAATGAGGTCACAAGTACGTACCAGATTTAGATTTAGAATCAAATTCTGCATATACTCTATTAATATCTCCGTCGTCAATAAATTAACCCTGTACATCGTCTCCCAACACTGGCCTCAAAATTGCTTCAAGCATCGACAACCCCATCCTGTGTAAGTCTATTACGAATAGAACAGACACACGAAATATGTCTGCAGTGCGACGATTTCTGGACCAGCCCCCACGTTTACCGGGATATGCGAAGGATAGCTCCGGGATTGTACCGGGACTTGCAGTTCGCCGTCGCCGCACTATTCAAGGGCGACTTAAACTATAGGAAGCTGCTCGGCGAGAGGAATTGCACCCCCACTCTCGGGTTCGAAGCCGCGTTACAAGGTACCCCAGACCATCAAAAATTCTCCATTCAATATAGGAGCATTACACTTATTTATTTACTGCCGAGATACTACCGGTTCGGGAAACACTGACCTGAGAAGAATCGGTGAAAGAAACTCTGCGAGATAATATTTTTTTTTACCATTATTTGACAGTGAAAACCATGTTTACCAATATATTAACGTCTACTTGAAGAGTCTGGAGCGATCGATGGCAGAGTGTTCTATTTAAATAATCACTAATACTGTAATAGCCTTTAACACACAAATGTTCCTTCAGCACACACAGTAGTTTTTAGAACTTCATAAAAATTTCTCCTAAACTTGGATATAATCAAATAATTTTTTGAAATGTAGATTAGATATCAATTCCATCCGCGAGTTCAATGGTCACCGCACACAAAGTTATCTTGTCTAAAACTGGGAAAACCCTGTACTATACTGGGTAACCCGGTACTTGGTAATGATAAACAAATTTCTCGGGTAAAGGTGATCGAACCCAACACCCTATAGTGGGTCCTATCCACTACGCAACAGTAAGATAGTTTTAGTGTTTAATAACATCTTAGCTCAACGCTATGTATCCTCACGAAGGTTTCCTGCCCACCCCCATTGTGGCGGTGCGGACCGTGAAGGCCGATCTGATATGCGGCCTGCCGAAGGGCAAGTTCGAGCAGTTGAGCAAGGTAGACGAGAAATGGATGGAGAAGGGAGACTACGGGTTGGTAGACTGGTAGATGTTGAGATAGAATAATAATTAGAGTGTATACTTGAAGATCAGACTGACTGAGACGAATTAGGCTCATTAAAATTTGTAGAAAAAGTACGAAAAAATTGTAGCCGTTGTGGGAATCGAACCCACGTCTTCGGCATCCGCGGCCTGACGCTTTAGCCACTAAGCTAAACGGCTGATTGCCACACCGATGGAAATCTTAACATCTTTTATCTACATTGTTTTTAACATTTGTAGCAATGCTTGGCGCATCCATTGTTATATCCTTTCCGGCACACAAACAATTTCGAATATCGTTTTACAACGATAATTCGAACGAGAGATGTCGTTTAGAAATTTAAAGTTTTTTATAGTGTTAATCGCTGCACTTAAGATTAAACATCAAAATTTGTAGAAAAAGTACGAAAAGAAATCTCCCGTTGCCAATTTACTGGCCCCGGCGAAAGGGGTCGTGGGTCGGAGTTCGAATCTCACACTGGACAACCCACAGATAGTTGTTTCGCATCTGGGCGTTTGTCCGCGTGAAATTTATGTTTGTGAAACGTCCTTACAGCACAGGATAATGTTATCCTGGAGTAAGGGCAATATTTTTTTTTTAAATGAAATGAACGTGAAAAAAATAAAAAGAGCAATATAAATGGTCTTGTCACGGGAAGATTGGTCTTTTCAACCGATTTCAAAAAGGAGGAGGCTCTCAATACGACATTTATTTTTGTGTTTGTTACCTTGCAAATTTCAAATAAATGAACCGTTTTGATGTTCTTTTTTATTTGAATGCTCGTGCTTCCCATGTGGTCCCATATTAATTTCATTGGTATTGGATCCTTTGCTCCGGAGATATTTAGGGAACTCCTGAAAATCAATTGTAAAATGAATACAGAGCGAGATATTTGTGGTCGGTTTTGCTTTTCGTTCATAAAAAAAGTCCATTTTCTATTATGTAAGTAAGTATCACCGGAACCAAGATCCAATACCAATGAAATTAATATGGGACCGCAAAGGAAGTATCAGCTTTCAAATAAAAAAAGAATCATCAAAATCTGTTCATCCTCTCGAAAGTAATGAGGTAACGAACATAAAAGAAAATACTGTAAAACTATTTAAAATTGAGAATTTTCTCCCTTGTTGAAGTCTCTTGAATAATACAGAGCGAGATATTTGAGGTCGGTTTTGTATTTCGTAAATAAAAAAAAAATGGAGAATAATAGCCGTGATAGCTCAGTGTCCGGGCGCTCGCCTTTAATTCAATATACTCGAGCAACCTGAGTTCGATCCCCGGTGCCGGCACCAATGAAATTGTTAATTTTAAGTGCTGACTTATCACGTGCTCAGCGGTGAAGGAAAACATCGTGAGGAAACCCGCATATTTTCGAAATGATAATTAAAAAAATATTTCCAAAAGATGTGAAGTCCGCCAATCCGCAGTGGGGCCGCGTGGTCCTGATACCCTCTGTATAGAGGAGGCCTTTGCCCAGCAGGGGGACATTTATGGGCTGTTACTTTACTTTAATTTTAAAGGAAATGTACCTGTAAAGTAAAAGTAAAGTAAAGTAACAGCCTATACATGTCCCACTGCTGGGCAAAGGCCTCCTCTATACAGAGGGTTTAATTCAATGTACCTGTATCGGTGCCCAATCGGTTTCCGCAGCGTGATCCAGTTCTGCGGGAAGAGCGAGCCGCTGAAGGTGTCGGATAGACCGTGCGCTGATTACGGCGATCGTTGCAGGGGCACCATTTGTTCTATCCCCGCGGCTAAAGCGCAGTAGCCGAGCGAGGTTTGCTTGTGTTCACGCGATTGCACGTCGTGAACTCGTCGAGACTATTTTTAACGGTTTCAACGAAAACCCTCGATTAACTCTACGAAGAAAAACGAAAGTTACAAAAAAATTATTAATTAAAAAACGACACCCAAAGTTAGAAATAAAAAACCGCTCAAGTGCGAGTTGGACTCGCGCACGGAGGGTTCCGTACCTTTATGAATAAAAAGCAAAAAAATCCGTAGTACTGGGGCCCCCCCACAAATAATTTTTATTCTGTTTTTAGTATTTGCTGCTATAGCGGCGACAGAAATACATCATCTGTGTAAATTTCGACTGTCTAACTATCACGGTTCATGAGATACAGCCTGGTGACAGACGGACAAACAGACAGCGGAGTCTTGGTAATGGTGTCCCGTTTTACTGTTGGCAAAAAAAAATACAAAAAAACAGAACTTACATGGCGAAAATACAAACTATATATAAATGACAACACTTTCTAGATATACAGGGAGGCTTTTCTAAGTGTATCCATTTTTTTTATTAAAAAATGATAAATATTTAAAATCACTCGTAATTAATTAATTACATTAATTTTAACTTATCTCAAAAAGTGCGTGATTTATACGCAACTCATTTATTTTACGCGCGATCATTCATAACTAACACGCACACAAGTTCGTTTCAAAATTATACGACGCATTTATGAATGACTACTGCATTGTCAACAAGCTCTGTTTTTTAGGGAATAGAATGGCAATTTTTTTTTAAAAAAAAGTTTGTTTTTATTTCAATAAACAATTATACTACCGAGTCTGAACCTCCTTTGGGCACCTTTAGAAAAGCCATCCTGTGTATTGGGCAGAGAAACCTACCTCTACCATAGACAACAGGGGTATCTCTAACAATGAAACTTTATGCGCTTACCTATATGCAGAAACGTATGAATATAAATAAATATATAAATTAAAACACCAATCAACCGAAACGACATATTACATTATAAATTATTATTAAGTGTGATTTAAAATACTAACGCCCGGTTTCCGAAACACTAATCATCTTAGATGTTAACTAATCAACTGTCAAATGGATTTTCAAATGTTATTTGAGTTGCCCAAAAGGATGGTTAAACTCTCTGAATTGATCAGAATGATCATCTTAATGGTCGGAATTTTGAAAATTTCTACGTTGATCACTGTTTCAGAAACCGGGCATAAGTATGATTTATTTTTACTATGGCTTTAGTATCAAATAGTGTTGCCAGTAGACTTTAACAGTATACACTTTAAAGGCATTGAGATAATTTTACGTAATTAATCGGAAATACACGCAATCCTAATTCTAACTTATATCATCACTTTATGAGTCGAAATTCTTGACTCATATAAAATTATGGAAATCATTAGTATACAGATTTTTATAATGTATTTTGCACGTGAGTATTTCTCAGTTTTAAAACTGTCATTTTCAGATGGCGCGTGACTCATTTTTTGCTGCTGTCAATTGCCGTTAACAAGAGGCCTTTTTGAGCACAACCATTCGGGATTATGTTTTGACTTCGTTTTTAATAAAATTGTTGAATATTAAAATTGTCTTTGCTTTCATTGCGTTCAATGTTTTACCGACTTCAAAAAAAGGGGTTCTGAATTCAATATAACTTGTATTTGCCTATATTTCCTCAGACCAATAAAAATGTAGTCTTTTATTGGCCTGAGAGAATTTCATCATTTTTTAAGATAACAGTCTAAGGGGGAGGCGTATGTTCAATAGTGGAAGCGAACAGGCCGAAACGATTACGATGTTTTTTGTTCACAGTTGACACTTATTTCTTTCATTCAAATTAAATTTTAGAAAGAAAGAAATATTTATTCGGCGCATTATTATAGGAGATAAATAAAGAATAAGAAATAACACTAGAATTGTAAAAATGTATGCACCAAAAAGTCTCCGCTCAGTATATAGCCGCGGCAGACAATACCACGGCACTGGTTTTCCGCGGATAACCTCTAAGATTGGCGTTCAGCAAAAAAATAACATTGACATAAAATAAAAGCAATAAAATAGGAATATAAAAAGTTAAGTACAATAATAATAATACTTAATGGCAGTCTGTGGGGGAGGCCTATGTTCAGCAGTGGACTCAAACAGGCTGAAATGATGATGATGATGAAATACAATAAAATCAAAAACGAAGTAAAACAAAATTATTAACAAAAACTATAACATGTCCTCGACACAATACGAGGTGGAAATTTTAAGGTTTCACTTAAGGTGAAATATTAAAATTTGCAGAAAAAAGTTTTTTCCCGCTGCGGGAATCGAACCCACGTCTTCTGCATTCGCGCCCAGACGCGAAACACTAAGCTAAACGGCTGGCGCATCAACTGTTATCTCCTTTAGAGCACACAAAGCATTTCAAATATCGTTTAACAACGATATCGAACGAGAGACGTCGCCATCGCTATTTGAAATTAAAATTGTAATACAGCGTGTCGTTACCATCGCGACAATAAATGAACACACGTCTAACGCTACTTGACAATAATCATAAAAAAATATTAACGTTAAACAAAATCCATAATAAAAAAAAAATATTTTTCATACAAACTAATTAAGTAATAAAGAAACAAAATTTGTAACATCCTATACAACTCGCACCACAGCGTCGTATTACAAGCCTCTCCTTCTAACAGTATGTTTTGTCTCTTTTAAATTCATTCATCCCATTCATATGCCCGACATTCATATGTGACCTTTACAAATGAACTTTACGTTACGCTTTTATAGGTAAGGGTGTTCTAAAATTCTTTGTTTTGGAAAATTTAATAACTCTGTAAATATTGATGTTTGAAGAATTTAAAAGTTTAATACAACTTTAAAAATTTATCCCCTATATGTGTGTTCATTTATTGTCGCGATAGTAAGACACGCTGTATATTTATTATTATAGCTAAATTTTGCACTTAGAACTTTTAGAAAATATGGATGATGTCTTTCGCCGCTGCGGGAACCGAACCCACGTCTTCCGGATTAATCACTAAGTTGGACGGCTTCCAACAACTGGACACAATGGCGCCGACGTTCGTGTCCGATCGTCCGAGGCTCATTGATTCTTTTATGCGAGAAGGTGGCAAACGAGCTGGCGGTTCACCTGATGTTAAGTGATAACCGCTGCCCATGGACACTTGTAGCACCGTAGGGTTGCAGATGTGTTGCCACCTTTTAATAAAGTTGGCCCCGGCTACCTCACTCACCAGACGAAACGCGAAATTATTATACTTCCACTTTACGCCGGTCTTCTGTGAGGTCGTGGTCTTACCCGGACGCCCGCCCATTCGTGCAACAGCCGAGGCTGCTGCGTGGCCCTACCACCGTAAGACTTAGGAATATATAAATTTATCATCATCATTTCAGATCTTTAGAGTCAACAGTTTGACATAGACCTCCCCCACGGACTGCCACGAAAAACGATCCTGAGCCACCTGCATCCATCGACTTCCCGCACATTTGCACAGGTCGTCACTCCGTCTAGATAATCATATCATATTGTATCATACATGTATTTCATTTAATATTTTCGAAATTATAACTTATTTTTACAAAAATGAATTAAAGTAATTCTTAAAAATACATAAATAATCCTTCGTGCCTATATAAAAACGCGAAAGCATACGACATTTCGACATTTCATTATTACAAAACAAATTGGTGTTCATAATTCTAAAATAGAGTTAAAACTATCAGTCTACTAGTGGACCCTGTAGTACCTTTTTTTATTTTTTATTACTAAAAATATGTTGCTTATTTTTAATTATCGTGGCACCTATCGATATATTATTTTGAATTAATTACACGGTGGAATCTTTATGTTTCTTTTTATGTATTTGTTTGAACACGAAAATGTAAAAAGTACGTGCTCCAGGTGAGGCTCGAACTCACAACCCCGGCATCGCTCGGACACTGTCTTATAAGTACCGTGCGCTAACCAATTGCGCCACTGGAGCCATAGGCATCATGCCCAATTTATCTAGTACATTACACATGAAATACAAAGGAAAATACGGTTAATATAGTGTTCATATAGACCGTTTAAGTTTTGGTAGTGCCACGCAACAGTGTTCGCTGTTGCACGAATGGGCAGGCCCGTCCGGGTTAATACCACGACCTCACAGAGAAGTGACCGGCGTGAAGTAGAACTGTCACACTTTTGCTTTCCCTCTGGTGAGTGAGGTCGCCGGGGCTAACTCTATTAAAAGGTAACGCATCTGCAACCGTACGACTGTTGCAAATGGCCATGGGCGTCGGTTATCACTTAACGTGAGGTGAGCCACTTTCCCATATAAAAAACAAGCTTCATCCGCAGATAATTGCAGTATTATTCAATCTTATACACAATACCGCACACCTGCATAGGTCCAGATGCAGGTGGCTCAGCACTGCCCCAAAATCTCATGTATAGAGCAACTGTTAACGAATTATGAACCATTTTAATCGTAATAATTGAAAATCAGTATTAAAGTTTTCTCCCTACATTGTATACAATCCTACCATAAGAGCCATGTCAGCTCAGTGGCAGCTCGCTCGCTTATAAATCAAGCCAACTGAATTCAAATGCCGATGCCAACGCCAATGAAACTGTTAATTTTAAGTACTGATTAATCACGTGCTAACGGTGAGGAATGGTGGACAATTGTCGAAATTAAAAAAAAATATTTCGAAGATATGTCCAAACGCAGTGGGGTCGCGTGGTGGACTACACCTTAATACCCCTTATGAGGTAATAGGAGGTTATGAGGAGGCCTTTGCCCAGCAGTTTGACATCAATAGGCTAATTAATTTATTTTTGCTTAATATCATAAAGTATAGTAACAACTATACTTTCTTACTTTTATATGAAGTCTGCAATCCACAGATGACACTCTCTGTCAAGATTTGGCCAGAAGTGAATCATATAATGGGTTGACTATTATTTACACTATCTCTGGGAGCAAACGTCTAATAATACGTATACATAATGGCATTCATTGGCGATGAACAGCCCGTGGTAGCGACGTGGGACCGCCGAAGTCATGTAGATTTTTTTTGTACTCACTTAGCCAGCTGAGTATGATCTATCATGCAACTTAGCCTTGTCACAAGCTCTGTGCTCGATAAATCTTTATATGGATAGTATACTGCAAGAAATCTCAAAAACAAAAAGCAGAGTCATATAATGACAATCACACAACAATTTAGCTAATTGCGATACGACTGCTATCGCTTTGACTATTTAAAAGAAATTGTCATGCGAACAGACGGTTAACCTGACGTTGATTACCGCTACCTATGGACATCTACAACGTGAGGGCTTGCAGATGCATTGGTAACCTTCAAAATAAATGCAGAACAAGCCTGCCCATTTGTTCAACAGTCGATTAAAAACAATTGTAAAAAGTGTGGTACACATTCGTATTATGTGCTTATTTTGTACTAACTCTCATTATTGACCTTGGTGAGTATTGTGAGAACAACAAAAATTAATTGCTCCAGGTGAGGCTCGAACTCACAACCCCGGCATCGCTCGGACACTGCCTTATAAGTACCGTGCGCTAACCAATTGCGCCACTGGAGCCACGGAGATTTTCATCAAAGTTACTTACATATCGTTGTCATGTTCGTTAGGTTTAAGAGTTATGTTCTGTGTGTTTCTTCAATTACCGACCATAGTAATACGGAACGGTGGCGCGGTCGGTATGTCTACCATACGGGACGAGTATTTGAGTGACCCACAGATAATATTTTCGGATCTGGGGGTTTGTTTCCCATGGAAAGTTGACGTCAGGCAGGCGGCTGGTCGTGAAAATATAGCCTGAGCCGCTTAATAATGCAGGATTCAGTAGATGCAGGTGGCTCAGCATGGTGATTTTTAGCAGTCTGTGGAGGTATATATCCAGCAGTGGACACTAACAGGTTGAAGTGATGATGACGAAGTACTTCGTAAGCAAGCTTTAAATTATAGGGCCGCGTTCCCTTTGTCGGCAAAAGTAAGGTAAAGTTTACCAGCTCTTTCATATTACAAAGGCAAACATAACGGCCTACTTGTTTAGATGCAACAATGTTTCACCTCTGCACTTGGAGGTCATTAAGTACTTGCGTGCGTTGATTAGAAAAGTTCACATAAACGCCTTCATCATCTGTTTCTGACTGATCTTTAAATGGTGGGTGAACTGGTCAAATTCCATGGGCCCTGGACTGGAAGGGGCCGCGTGCAGGATGATCCTAGCATTTAGTAACATTACAAACACCTTAGAAACGGTTAAGAATCAGGCATCATGGCAGCCTTGACGTGCTCGCGACTGTAGTAATAAATTCGGTGATTTATTGCGAAACATTCAAAAGATTTTTGTGTAAAACAAAAACCAAAACCGTCCATTCAATTTTGTTTTGAGGAGTTTCCTGTGTTTCCAATGATAAATTTTGTATTCGCATGGGAGCCAAATCGAAATCGATGCAAAAATAATTTCCATAATCGGTTCGTAATGACAGGTGTCGGATGTAACAAGAATAAAAAAATTACAACCAAATTGAGAGCCGCCTCCTTTTTTGTAATCGGTTGAAAACTACAATATACATATATTGAACTTCTTTACTATGTTAGGGCCACGCAAGTTTTCGGCGCGAAGTGGAAATGTCATTCTGTGTGTCGTATGGTGAGTGAAGTAGGCGGGGTCCATTTTATTGAAAGCAACTGCAACCCTTCGGGTGTTGTGTCTTGTATCTTGTATTAACTGATGTTTGTGCTTTCAGTCCCGAGACTATTAAAGCTTCATCTGACGTAGGACCGGTGGGCTAACCAGAACCCACGGGTTTGGGCCCTCCGCTGTGGGTAGGGCCGCGCATGTGCTCATGCGTGCGTTTAACTATGGTGCGTCATCTAAGGGCCATCGAGGTCGCGGTTCGGACCGGGACCCCGATGGCCGTCGACTGTGCAATTAGCTAATCGGTGGCTGGGGGCGGTGAGAACCGCCCTGGAACGCGGGTGTAGCTTGTGTACGCGTTGTGTTGGTCTCGCCGTGCTCGGAGGCGAGGGCGAACTATTGTGTTTCTTGTTACACTAGCTGTGGGTGAAGTGTTTTCCGGCGGGACCCCTGATGGTGACCTTCCATTCTTGCATAAAAAAAAATAATTCTTATCATTTTTCGATCTCACACGGTTATTCTTTGGCCACTCCTCTTTTTTTGTGTGTTGCTGATTCCAGTCAGTTATCTGTGCAATGAAGGCACGGCTTACAACAATAAGGTTTCGCCTGACGTCCTGAGGTAATATTGCTTAGCTAGCTTTCGATACAACATTTTTAACAACCCTCATACGACCTAGTTTATGATACAATTATTTACGTATAGTTGGCCTTATTACTTTGAATATAGTTGAATAAAATAACATTCAAATGATAAACTAATACAAAATTATACTATAACAATGAACCTAAAACTAAAAACCTTAGAAAATATAATGTAATAACTAAAATATATTATTGAAAGGATTGCCCTTTAGGCAAGGTTCCGAAGATAATGGCATCGTTCCCCCTTTGAATAGCTAGACTAATTCTTTAACCGAGGTAGCTGCCAGCTCTTCGGTCTCCTGTGATGTCAACTAACCATTTTTAAATAATATATTTGATAATGTATTATTTTAATACATTAACGGTTGTTTTTCTTCACCGTATACTAAAATTCTTTTGTAAATTAACACCGAGGTCGCTATTCAAAAATTTAATTACATCATAGTTATTTTTAAAAGTTTGCAATGGGCTTATATTAGAAATTAGAAGAGAAGACTTATAATCTTCTCTTCTAATTTCTAATATAAGCCCATTGCAAACTTTTAAAGAAGCATTACAAAATATGTATTATTTTGTATTGCGAATTACAATTTTGATAATTTTGTCAAACATATCAAAAGTGGGTAGATTTTATTTAATGCTTTTGATGCGTGTTTTAGACATTGCATTTTCATGAGTTGTTTCGTTAACTTTTGATTTTACAGACAAGTAATTTCGAATCATCAAGAAAATTATCTAATGTTTTTTTTTCTTGGGTGAAAAAACATTGCCCTACTTTAGGATAATATTATCCTGTGTTGTAAGGACGTTTCACAAACATAAATTTCACGCGGACAAACACTCAGATGCGAAACAACTATCTGTGTGTCACACAATTAGTTGTCCCGTGTGGGAATCGAACCCACGACCCCCGACGCCGAAGCCAATACCTTGGCAACTGCGCCACGGAGTCATAATATATGCGAGTCGATTGAGTTGCTAAAGTTGGGCATGATGCATGTGGCTCCAGTGGCGCAATTGGTTAGCGCACGGTACTTATATGGCAGTGTCCGAGCGATGCCGGGGTTGTGAGTTCGAGCCTCACCTGGAGCACGTAATTTTTTACGTAAACATTATCCGACATTATTTCATAATCCAAGGCACACTGATCCTTTGTCTAACATACTCTCAGACACTTGTTTTCTATGCATTTAATAACTATATAGTTTTCAAGTGCAAAAGTTACGTTTAATTTATTGGCATGTCCGATTTATAGTGTTTTTTTTTTTAATTTTCCCGTTATTCTTAACCAGAATCCTGTTCAAATAATGTTTTCTCGTAAGTTTTTACTAACTGAACAATTTTAAATGAAATCTTTTCTTTTTTGCGGATTTAAACGCGTCGAATTTGCTCTTCAAAACAATTTTCAAAAGGAACAATATTTAAAATATAGATTTGAATAATATAATTAAGCTGACACTCTTCGAATCGTTATTAAATATAATGAATACTTTTAAACTTGCTTATGTTTTTAAAGTGGTAGATTTTTGTAGAACGCACATAACGTGTTTTTAGATTTGGAGGAAGCTAGCAACTAACCAATGTTTTGATCTCTAATGAATACGACATATTATGGTTTAATCAAAAGCGCAAAAACCTAATCTGTATTCTGCGGAAATAATTGGAGACGTTTATTTTTAATTTTCAACAGATAACAAATCTTTGATTTGTTATATTACAAAGTAAATGTGTGAATTTTGTGACTTTTGATTACAAAGGTTATTAATCCTGAAATAGTATTTCTTTTTAAAAGTGCTTTTTGAAAAATTCTTTCACCGATTGAAATGTACATTATTCCCGATAGTTTTAGTTTAGTTATATTTGATAATATGTATAATATCTATAATATGTATTTTGTACAGTATGAGCATACTCTATGTGTATCTCGCATCAACATTAACAAAGCCTAAGATCAGGCTTATGTAGAAGGATTATAATTTTGCGTTTCGTCTTGTGTAAGTGTGGTGATCGTTGTCACCCTCTTAAAAGTTAGCAAGGCATTTAAAACTGCACAGGCGTTTAAACGTTCACGCGCAGTTTTAATCACTGGAAGTGCTTGCCAGCTATTTTTGCATGTTAAAAACAACACTTAACAAGAAACAAAATCGACTTCAAAAGTATTTCAATAGTATCCGACGAACAAATTGTAAACAAAGCGTTAATATAGTAAAGATTGTTTAATACACTATGTACACTGTGACAATTGAAGGTTTTAAAAATAGTCACATGTTTTGTCTTTGGTAGGAATTGACAGCTCAAGGTATTGCAACACCAAAAAAGTAGGTACACACTTCAGCTAGGTAATATTTGTACAGATTTTGAATTGTTTGTATAACGATGGTGGGTACAGCATACTGGTTTATAATTTTTTTATTATCTTTATTTTAATGGGGTTTTTATCGACAAATATACGCCAACTGTTGTCGATTTTCATCCGCGGCGCTTACGAGGTGAAACTGTAACCAGTAAATATTCGTTAATCTCCAAAACACGGTATGGGGTTCTCGCTGAGTTTGATAATGAGGTCCTTCACTGCGTACACCGGCTCATTGGCTTTGTTGAAGGTCAGACCCCTCAAGTCCCTCATGTCCGCCACCTTGTCCAGGACGAATTTGTACTTGTTGTAAACAAACACCCCATTGGGGGCGCAAACGTGAGCCTTGACGTAAACGTCTGTGCTTAGCACGTCCACGTGGACCTTCTCGTGGATATTGACGGCTCTAGTGCCGAGTTTGATGCGGAACAGAGTCTTGTCCCGTGTAAACAGAACGTTGTTGTCGTTGTCTACTATCAGGCTGTCGACTTTGACGTCTCTCAGTTCAGTAAGCGCCACCCCGAGGCCGTCCTCGAATATGTACGTCTCGCCCTTCGCGTTTACGAAGTACAAGACGTCTTTAAAGTGCACGTATCTAATGTCGTCGCGTACGGGCAATAGTTCCGCTTGTCTTCTCTCGTTTATCTTGTACAAACCGCTCCTGCTGCCGACGTAGATTTTGTTGTACTTCTGATCTATGGCGATCGACGTCGCGTTGTCTATGCCCTCGACGATCTTCGTCTCTTTGGTGTCCATGTCCATGTAAGCGACCTGACGGTTCGGCGGCGAAGCGATCTGATCGAAGGTGAAATACAAAATGTCGTCGTTCCTGTTCAAAGTCAAACTGTCAATCCGATTGACGCCCTCTTTGATTATGTGCACGTTGTAATACTTCTCGTTGAAGTAGATACCGCGGCAGTGGTTGTCTGCCGAGGCAGAGGCGGCTAGAAGTAGAGCAAGCAACAGTTTCATCGTTAAAATCTGGAAGCAGAAACGACAATACTTTTGTACTGTGGAACACTTTTTATTAGAGCTTAGAAAGTAAGAGCAAGGACAATATTTCCCGTATTATTCATTATTTAAAACACTTTAAATATGGATTAAAAATGGGGGTCGTTTCTTGGCATTATCAACCAGTCAACGAATTAACTACCAGTCAAGTAGGTACTAACTTATTCCCTACCCAATGTTATAAACATTCAACAATTTTTCAAGACACATTTTTAAACAACGTTATTCAGTACCAAACTAAACAAAGCTTGTATTATGGGTACCTAGGTAAATAAAAGTAAAGTAACAGCCTATACATGTTGCATAAGTAAAGGCCTCCTCTATACAGAGGACATCAGGGCATAGTCCAACACGCGGCCTCACTGCGGATTGGCGGACTTCACATATCTTCGAAATATACAGCGTGTCGTTACCATCGCGACAATAAATGAACACACGTCTAACGCTACTTGCCAATAATCATAAAAAAATATTAAAGTTAAATAAAATCCATAATTAAAAAAATATTTTTCAAACAAACTAATTAAGTAAAAAAGAAACAAAATTTGTAACATCCTATACAACTCGCACCACAGCGTCGCATTACAAGCATCTCCTTCTAACAGTATGTTTTGTCTCTTTTAAATTCATTCAACCCATTCATATGGTTTGTGACCTTTACAAATGAACTTTACGTTACGCTTTTATAGGTAAGAATGTTCTAAAATTCTTTGTTTTGGGAAATTTAATAACTCTGTAAGTATTGATGTTTAAAGAATTTAAATGTTTAATACAACTTTAAAAAGTTATCCCCTATATGTGTGTTCATTTATTGTCGCGATGGTAACGACACGCTGTATATATTTTTTTTATTATATCGAAAATATGCAGGTTTCCTCACGATGTTTTCCTTCACCGCGAAGCACGTGATAAGTCAGCACTTAAAGTTCAAAACTTCATTGGTGCCGGCACCGGGGATCGAACTCAGGTTGCTCGAGTATATTGAATTAAAAGCGAGTGCCCGGACACTGAGCTATCACGGCTATGGGTACCTAGGTAACTGGCTATTTTGTAAACAAATACATGCTCCGGATATGTAAACACCCAGACACTCCAATAGCAGGGATCGAACCCACTACCTCTATTCTATGTCAATAAGTGATAAATTTATTTCTTTTATTTTTAAACCGAGAAGGGCTTGATAATAAAAGAAATAAAGTATGTGATAGTTTATTATTGTTGATTCTTGGGCTGTGAATGTTAAAGTATCCGGTGATATCTTTTTTCTTCCTGTAACAAATGCTTTTTTTCAACAGTGTCGAATGAGTGGATTTTGATATTGTTTATTTAACGGAAAAAGGAGCTAACGAGCATTGTGGATCATTAGCGGCACAATAATAATAGCCTGGAACGTTTCCGGGATAAACGTTAGTCTATGTATTATATAAATTCTGTTACTATGCTATTTGATAAAAGAGGAACTTTTATGTTTTGTTCTTTCTGGGAAGACCTCCCATAGGCTTTCTGTTACTATCTTTTTTCCTAATATGTTTTGAAAACAATGCTCCATTAAAATGTAAGATCATATATTTGTTTTGCTGTTATAAAGTGAATTTTTTTTTGAAAATCCTATTTTTACTGCACACAGCGCCTTAAAACTATATTATTATTTGCTGGTGGTTTTCTTGGCACAAATAAATAAATATATTTATATAAAACAGATTTCCCGCCAAATAAGAAAAACTTTTATTTACTTGCTGAAATAGCAACATATCATATAAAATTAAAAACAATAATTTTGTATATTCTGTTTGATCAATTTATGCGTTAAAGCCTTACACGTCTTTAAAAATGTTTCAGTGTTTTGTATGAAGTTAGCGGTTATTAAAATGAACATGAAATTTAAATGAAATAGATATACGGTTGAAAAGAACACGAGAGAAAGAGATAACTATAAGCATGAGTTCTTATACCATTAAATGTTCGAGGTCACAACAACAATGGACAGTTCAACGCCGAATAGATTCTCAATTCGAATTTTTCATATATGACATAGAAATAGTTATTATTATTTTTTAATTTAACAAACAAAAACATATAAACTTCACGGAGAACCTACCTAAAATTTATTGACTTACGTTAATACTAAGTCATCATTTTGTTCGGTTATTTTTTATCCGTATTTGAGATGTTTCAGCTTTGAAAGCAGTTCAGAATATTTTTCCCTGTTACATATTATTTAATGTAATTTTAGATAGATTTAATCTTGTAAATATTTGATCAATAAAGATTGTAAAGTTACATATTTGACATAATATTAATATATAAGTACGTAAAAAACTTACCGTGTGCTCTGTCATGACCCACACATGATACGTGTAATCAACTCTGAGGCTCCGTAGCGTGTTATGCTGCTATAATACGTTTTTAGGACGCAGGGGCATTTGTTTATCGTCTACTCATATAAATAACATTCATTATGCTGTCCGTACAAAACGGCTGTGTTGGTCAGTGCTTGAATCATCGGATCTGTAAATATCGATCTATTTTTCTCCGAAACGTTTAGTTTGTAATTTCCCAAAGCTAAAATTCCAAAAATGATTTTTATATTAGCACGGGTAACATTAACAGCTCTTTTTAATATTGATTTCTTGTACGTTTACGCAAATATTATAAATATTTTTTTCCTTTGATTTTTAATTTCCGATGTTTCGAACCCTTTCCAGCGTTCAGTCTGTCTGTCCAGTGATCATGCACGCTAAAAAAAAGATTTTTTTAATTTGTTCCATAGTCACAAATATATTTATTTACATTTAGAATTGGAGTACAGTTCTTTTCTTAATCGAACCAGGATTTCTTGTCGTGGTTACTTAGGTACTACCATTTCTGGGGCAAGTTGTTTTTCTGTAACGCTGACGTGGATTATTACTTTTTACTATTCGTAGGTTTTCCTTGAGCAATCTATGGTTGGTTCGTTATACAAAGTCTAACCAAAACTATTCGAAAATAAAAAAAATCGTTAAACTAAATGCGCACACCACGCAAGATTTAAATCTAATCGCTACTTCCTCTCTCCAGCCACTAATAGGGCAAAAATAAAATAACAAACATTTTGGACCATGAAAAGTGAACTACGCTATATTAAACTAGTATATTTTTTCCCAACTGATACCGAATACGATCTTGAACTTTATAGCCCTGAGTGATAACGAGCATTAGTTAAGACTATGTACGGTAGAAATTTGTTTGAAAACATCTCATGCGTTCTATGTTGGAAAGTAATCTCGGACGAAAAGGAACGACTTTTTGCAATGGGGATGTTACAGACCGAAATCATCATCATCATCATAATCACTTCAGCCTGTTTGTGTCCACTGTAGGACTGTGTGAACGTAGTCCTCCCCCATAGATTGCCTAAGCCACCTGCATCCATCGACTTCACGCACATTTGCACCGGTCGTCTCTCCATCTAGTCATCAATCTTCGACATCGATAGGTCAGAACTTCCGATTCAGTGCCGGTAACTCTAAAACGAAGTTACGACGAAGATCGAATGTGTTGACGTTTAGATTCGATGGACACCGAAGAATATTGTATGTCCTGTTAGTGTGGATTCCTTGTTATGGCGGAGAATAATAAAAATATTTACAGTGCATGTAAATACTCGCCAATATTTATCGTGTCCACAGTCTTCATTTGATTTAAATGAAGTTTATACTTAAGTATATATTTTATTTTTTTTTATGGTAGAAGGGGGCGAGCTTGCTGGCGTTTCACCTCATGTTAAGTGATAACTGCCGCCCGTGGACATTTGCAAAACCCGTAGGTTTGCAGATGCATACCTTTTAATAAAGTGGGCCTCGGTTACCCCACTCACCAGACAGACGAAACGCAGAAGTGTATCACTTCCACTTTACGCCGGTCTTCTCTTCTGTGTGGTCGTGGTACTTCTCCGGACGGACCTACCCATTCGTCCAACATTGAAGACAGTTGCGTGGCCATAAGGCCGTGGTGTGGGACATTTTCCTATTGTTTCCTTCTTTTGCATTCGTATTAAAAAGGCTGATTACTGTATTGTGTTTCCACTATTGTATTAAGTTTACATGTAGGATTTAACAACTCAGGCTTCTCCCGTTAGTCTTTCTGTCTGACCGTTTGTCCGTCTGTTGCTAGATTGTATCTCATGAACCGTGATAGTTAAACACACTGTGTCAGTGTGTGTTAAGCCGGTCCCAGAAATGTTAATGAAAATAAAAATATTTTCGGATATACTTCTTAAATTATCGAACATAATCTTTTAGTTCCTACACTTGTTTCTCTTCATATTAGTAAGTCCAAAGATACAGTGGAAAACTGGGTTGAAGCAGTACTATCATTGTATTATTTATGTTATTTTAATTATTTAATACAGTACTGCTAGAAGTTTAAGGCTCTTATAAAAATATTGAATGTAACTTCTCAGTACATACTTGCTAATATTATGTACTAGCTGCTGCACGCGACTACATCTGCGTAGAATAGGCTGAAGCAGTAAGTGTAACATTAAGACAGAAAGACAGATGTACATAAAATCTGTATATAAAGTATAGCCTATGTCTTATTCTGATGTATAAGCTATATTATTGCAGTTTGGTTAAAATCTATTCAGTAGTTTTTGCGTAAAAGAGTAACAAACATCCATCCTAACACATACAAACTTTCGCGTTTATAGTAAGGATGTACATAAAAATAAGAATGAGTTTTCAGTAATGATAATAATATTTTTTTAGTAATGTGCATGATGTAAAAATACTAGGAACAAACAAAAAAATAATTCTACCCGCATCTAGATTGCGAAGAATAAGTAAATCTTTTATGGGACAATATACGCTTTAACAATAAAATCCCAGAAAACGTTCAGTTGCTAAATTCAAAAAACTTTTACAGGAACATTTGTGTGTTAAAGGCTATTATAGTATTTGTGATTATTTGAATGATCGCTCCAGGCTGTTTCTTATGTTGTTATGTCTTATATTGTACACATGTTTTTATTTTTTTTGTCAAATTATTTTAAAAAATGGACCGTGGTTCCTTTCGCCGGTTTTTCTCGGGTCAGTGGCTTTTTTCCGAAATGGTAGTAGTGTTTTTTGACAATAAATAAGAAGTGTAATGCTTCTATATTGAAAAAAGATATTTGAATTTGCTCCAAGAAATTAACAGGAGATTTAAATTTCACATGAACTTTGCTTGGAAAAACCACATCAATAATAACGAGCCCTCTTGACCACAATTAAAATCCTGACGTTTTACATAAATACCCATTCTAAGAATCTCTTCTCCGGAATTTTCCTTGGAACCATAATAAATAACCAAATTAAACTCTGATGGCCCAGCCAAGTTAGTATTAGTCAGGCCAGGTACGACAGTCCTTATTATCGTGACTTACTGACGACCTTATGGAAAAGTAAAGCTCGAATTCACGAGCTCTTCGCACTCAGATAAAATCCCGAAGACGATTGTGTCATTCGAGACCGCCCAAATAGTCGTTGGTCGAAAAAACCCCAGCCACCCGTGTTTTGGACTGACGCAAGCCGCGCCAGGTTGCGCCATATTTAAAGAGAGGTCAAAAAGCGCTCGTAGAAGCTAAGGAGGAAGAGATTTGCTTATTAATTGCATATTTAATGCACTCCTCGAGAAAATCACTTCATACACCATACTGATTTATTTTAGTTTATTTAATTGATTTTCCTTAAGAAACTACATTATTGATTATTAAGTTGGACTTTTAATAGACCTTTTTTATTTATATAATGGGAAATGCAAATCAATTTTATAATTATAAATAAAGATTATTTGACGGGTGTTTAAAATGTTTATTGACAGGTCAACACTGCTATTTGCTATCTTTGGAGTACCGATATCGAGTGCTCTGTTATACTCTATGATTTTAGTTTTTTTTTAGTTATGTTTAGATTGGTTTTATGTGTGCACGCAGTTTATGTCGTTTCTGATCGGAGTAAAAGTCGAGTCGAGTAATTTTTTATTAAAAACTAAACAAATTATAGTGCTTTACCTTTATAATTATTTCTCAGTGGTGAATTACGGTTTATGAAACTAGTAAATCATGTGAGTATTGCAATATACATTACAAAAATATAATTTTCGTAACGACCGAAGATTTTTTCTAGAGAAAACCCTAGAATGTCCTTATTCGAAATTAATGTAAATTTGAAACACTTCAAACCTGTGTTACTTTTTTCGTTATTACAAAAGATATCTTATGATATATTATGATATATTAAGGGGCGTTTCACAAAGGGTATCATTTACTACGAATTATGAAAATCATTCGTTTATTCACATCCGAATTGATCGTAATTTATAAATCTATATGTTTAATAATTACTAGATTTTCTAATAGAAGTTAAATTAGTTGATAAAAATTTCCAGGTTAATAAGTAAAATACTAAGTAATAAGCTGATGTAAAAAATTTGAAAAGTTATAAAAGCCAAATGTTATGTCATTTACTAAATAACTTAAAATCGTTATTCTATCACATATCAAAGCAACTGTACAGAATGTCTTTCGACTTAAGTGTGCAAGTCAAATTACTGTTTCATAAATCAATATTTTTAATTTAAAACTGGTTTTCTGAAGTACTTGTAGTTCAAAAACTATAAAAGGTGTATTACACCAAGGGTCATACAATGGTCTATGTGGACAAGATTACTACCTAAGGTGATGTCACTAGTAAATATTATTCTACTATTTAATCTACTTAATCTGCACTGATGTTTTATGTATTTGCTTTTGAAATAACATATGGACATATCTCTACATCGAAATATAGAACGGTGGGCGTAAATATCATAGACTGGTCTAAAACGCCATAAAATGTTTCAAACAACACTAAAAGTTTTGATAAACGGTTCGAGTGTAGCAATTAAAGCAATAATTTATGCATGAACCAATCTTCAATTACCATTAAAAAGCTTATAGTGCACAAATATTTTAAACGGATATAAATTATTATGGTAGTATAGCAATGTATTGATTGAATTTTTAATACTAATTCTAATATCAATTACAATTAAGAAGACTTAAAAAAAATTGCTGTAGTGATGAAAGGAATCATTCTATTATTATGTTATTGTTCATTTGCTAATAGTACTAAACAAAGGTAGTTTAAGTTTCATATTTTACTTTTTAATGCAACACTAAACGGCTGAAAGCCGAATACAAGGTTATTTGTAGGATGACTTGTTTATATCCAACACAGGGATGATGCGGGCAGACGATAAGATGCAAAGATGCAAAGTTACCAGCAATTTGAAACTCAATTTATCATAGCTTAGAGGGTAAAAGTTATAATAAAATATTATTTAATTAAACAAATTAAATGTGAATACTAAACATTGTTACGAGCCTGAAGTTACACTAAAAGAGTTTTCATGGATTAAGCCTAGTTTGGCAGTCTGCTAGTTTGATTGTGAAGACTATTAAAGAATCAGCAGTATTTAAATTTTTTAAGTAATTAATTTTTTTTGTAAAGTATTTGGAATATAATTTAATCTGTTTTGTAATGGTTTTAAAAATATTATGTTATCTCTTATTTTAGTTAGAAATTATTATTTGACTATTTTGAAATGAAGAATTATATATTAATAGATTTATAGATGCTATAGATATAGCAAAGTTTTAATTTTTTTTTTTTTAACTAAAATTCATATCTTCGCTTGCAAGCATTTAATTAGACAAACTCATTTATAAATCAATAACCTAATGACATTGTTTGTCTAGTTTTATTGTTAACATTCCTCTGTTTTTCTATTTGTTTTCTTTGCTGTGAGCAGCTTACATAAAATAAAACAATTAAAAAAGCAATTGAACTGCATTTATGTGGCCATAAACAGTTTTATGAATTATTAATAATTTAATGTGTCATTTCAGCCCACATAAAAATATACCTGTTCCAGTAAAATTTTTTCGTTATGTTTTGACCACTTGAGTGTTTTATAAGACTATTTTACTGATTGTTTGTAAGTATGATATTAGTATGTGAGCATTGTAGTGCAGTGATGGGGGTGCTTTGTTTTCTGTTTATTGTAAAGTTTCTTTTTATTCTGAAGGGGCAACTGAGCAAGAATCTTAGCCAATGGTGTGTGAAAGTTGATGTTTTTAGACATTAATGACTGCAGTTGTTGTAAGCGTGTCTGACTACTGAGAGTGTGGATCTAATACCTGCAAAGGGGACTAGAACGAAAGTACAAATTAGTTTCACTTCGCGCCGGTGTTCATATTTTGGGGGTATTTAAAACCCAAATTAAACGCTAGAACACCCGTGAAGTTCAATGTTATTAAACCACTTCAACGTTGACGACGATACAAAAGAAATAGTTATGAAATTCTGGCCTCACAATATCTTTAAATGGCGAACACACGCTCTGTTGTTTGTATTTAAAGTGGATGAGGTAACAATTGGGGTGTGGACGGATGTCGAATTTGTTTAACATGGCTGTGCTTTAAGAGCAGCTGGAGCCACGCAGCAGTAGAGCAAAACGGAAAACAAGAAACTAAAACAGTTCGAAACGGTGAACGGTTTAGAATCTTTTCGGAGCGGAATTTCAAAGGAACTATGAAGGTTTAAAGAGACTGTCGTTTTTCGTAATACATCCCCTGCTTCTGTTGATGCAATAACGGGTGGACTCACCTGTTGTTTGTTGCGTTTGTTGTTGCGTACTTCCATGGGATGAGATAATCACTTGTCATTAGGTAAAACGTCGGCGCACTATGCACCTTGTTTGTTTGTTTATTCTTTATTGTACTAAAAGTTTGTACAAAGGCGGACTTAATGCTAAATAGCATTTTCTTTCAGTTAACCATTGGTGGTTGAGAGCAAGTTACGGGTAGTAACGCTAAAATGACATACAAGATTTTAAGTGTCAATCATAAAGAATATGGCAAAACTAAATATACTTCAACATAAATAAAAATAATTACAATTTTACATACACATATATGCATATATATATTGTTATACATACTATTTATGTATATATATATGTATATATACATATATATTTATGTATATATATGTATATAAAGCAATAATCTCCATCGTTTATTATAATGATTAAATCAAAACGTATCGTTTGTTTATTAACACGATAAAATTGTATTCTTTCATCGTATCTTTAATTCAACTTGTAGACTAACGTAGATATTGGTAGTTAAGGGTGAGCTCCGTCATCAAATGGTCGGACCTCACCGGTTCATAGAAGCGTCATCTGTAAGTATTTTTATGTGAAGTCATTAACTAGGTACCTTGCGTTTGACATATTTTTTGAGTGATAGGTTGGCGAGCGTTCCCCTGATGTTAAGTGATTACCTCCACCCATCTATATCATTGGTTTGCAGATGCGTTGCCAACCATTGAAAATAGGGGTGCCAGCTTTGATTATTATAATTATATAGTCAAAGGGGCCCCTAGGTTATCTCACTTTTCAGACGATACGCGAACGTCTGACACTTCCAATGTCTTCTGTGAGGCCGTGTTTTCTTTAGCGTATGTTCCCCAGCGACTGGCCTACCGCACTTAGAAATCAGTTTGTTTAAAGTATACAGTGCCGGTTTGTATCCAGATTACACTTCGTTTCGTTTTACGTTGCAAGGGTTTGAATACGTTAGTATGTATGTTATAAATTAAGATGAGATTGATTATACGTAAAATTCATATTATACTTAATTTATATAATGTTAAGTGATGACCGCCGCCAATGAACACACTTTTAATAATGGCCCCGGCTACCTCACTTACGAAACGCAGAAACATAACAATTCTACTTGACGCCTTTTGTTTCGCATTTTGAAATGCGATAAAGACAGAATTTACATTAAAATGAAAAATAGCTCACGCCGCTTATGAACCGAGTATTGCAGTCGACACAACATTAAATTAAATAAGATGAATGTTGTTTATGCAAGTTTGCTTGTGTTACAAAGTAACAAAACAATATCGTATCTAGGGTTGCCAACTTTTGAAAAAAGTAAGTATTACATTTATCAAATAGAGAAAAAAAAGTAATTAGAAGAAAAATAAAGTATATTTCAAAAATCTTATTTATTTCTTCTTTAGAAGATATATTTTTATATGCTCACAGTTTTTCACTTTACTCAAATTAATTTATTAATATTATAAAAAAATCAGCAAACGCTTCTAATTTGAAAGCGTTTTTTTGTTTTAACTTAGAAGTATTGATAAAAGTTCAGTAATTATTCATATAGGTACGTACATTGCAAACGTTTTTTATGCATCATATTAAATATTGAAAATAGAGTATTTTCACAAACTTTATTTTTGTGCGTAAGTATAAAGTATATTTACTAAAAATAAAGTAGAATAAGTTACTATAAATTATGGTTGGCAACCCTAATCGTATCGTAACGTTGATGCAAATTCTGCCTGCAACGTCCTCACGATATGCCATAATTATCTTGTTTGACACTGGAGATATTAAATAAAAAGAAAATATATATAAGATACAAAATACCATCTTGCGAGATCGGGTAGCTTAGTCCGAAACAAGTTTTTAATGTCTCCCTATCGCTTGATCTGTGTTCATGTTTGTTCAATGGCGTATAAATATACAAATGCGAGTCGGACACGCGCACGAAGGGTTCCGTACCAATTCTACCGTACCATTATCTAAAAATGTCTATATAAAAACAGCAAAAACATGTCTGTTGTATTGGAGTCCCGCTTTAATAATTTTATTTTAGTATTGGTTGTTTTAGCAGCAACGGAAATACATCATCTGTGAAATTTTCAACTGTCTATCTACCACGGTTCATGAGATACAGCCCGGTGGCAGACGACAGACAGACAGACAGACAGACAGCGGGGTCTTAGTGATAGGGTCCAGTTGTACCCTGGGTACGGAACGCTAAAATCTACATCAGCACACATCAGCGGCTGTCAGGGGAATCTTTACTAAATCGGCCCCACCTCCAGATGGCAGTGGTCATGCCCAAGAGATGGTACCGCTCGCGGAGGGTACAAGTCACGTTCGCGCTCGTCATCATACTCTGCGTGTTCTACTACATCACGCTGAACGACGACCTGCACCGGGAACCGAATCTGGACCTCACTAGGCGGTGAGTGCTCGAGTTTGCACGTGCGCCAGTCTGCATGTACACTGACGGCCGCTTTAAGAAACACCGATAATCGTACAAGTTACTAATCAGCTGTCAAATGGCTTTTCAAATGTCATTTGAGTTGCCCGAAGGATTGTTAAGGCCCATTTACACGATGCCATTTTCTTGTACATACAAGAGCAATAATTGAATGCAATAAATTGCGCGCAATAATTGGTTAGACCATTTGTTGTTTAGACCATGCAACTTATTTATTGCTTCAATTTAATTGTATACAACAGGCAAGAAACTGGCACCGTGTAAATGGGCCTTTAGACTCTTTGAATTGATCATTTAACTTCTACGTTGACCGGTGTTTCAGAAACCGGGCGTCAAAGTCAGTCAACATTTTTTTTGTCCAATGTAGGCTTGTTTTAAGCTCTTATTGAACGTCAAAAACTACCACCGGTTCACTAAACTAGACCTGCCCAGAGAAGTACCGGCAAGAAGGTCTTATCTTTAGACTTTAACACACAACCGCTTATCAGCACATATTATTATGTTCATTATATTATATTTATTTCTGCAAAAGTATATTTAAGTGCGTTTGTGCATGTTTATCACTAAACATAAGTATGTCTAAAGTATTTTTATCCGTTACCTAGTATCTATAGTTACAAGCTTGCCTAGTTCGCGACTAGATAACTTTGTATAAAAATATGTCTTGAAACGTTACTATTTATTGTTAACTGTCACATATACGTGACAGTTTCCAGAACATCAAATTAGGCTGGTTCATGGAGGAGTCGAAAAGAAATCATATTTTCTGGTCTAGTGCTGACTTATATTGTTAATACTTTTTATACAAACATCGTTAACATTGAACCTTCATTGGCCATATTTCGGTACATACTTTTACACAACGTTATCTAGCTGGATACTAGGTAACAAATAAATATACTTACTATTTACACCCAGACACTAGAAAAGCGCTTTGTTCTTCACACAATATTTTCCAGTAGTGGAGATCGAACCCACACTACCCAACTACGCCAATTGGATAATCAAAGCGAGAGCATGATCTTGACGGTCACGGTGCATGCAATACTACTGTGATGGTAACGTGCACTTTCAATCATCGGCTGATCGATTGTCTCATAAGTGTGTGCATTCAAATGCTTGTAGATGTTCGCTTCTTTTACACGCTGTTCAGCTTTGTGTGTGTATGTTTTTATTTCTATGGTATGAATAATTGTAATGCACACTTTAAAATAAACTCGCCTCACACAGACACGAAATTGAATTCTGGATTGTATATTTGTATCCTCGCCAGGTTTATAAAAGTTTGATGGAATTATTTACGTGTGCCTCGTTTCGTTATTATGTGTATTAGTTAAACTTTCGTAATTTAAACTAAAGTACTGCTTAACTTTTGCTTTGCATTACAAAAAAGCTGGCCATTTTTTTTATATTATTCCTCGTTTCGTAAAGTACTAACATCGCTTTTAAAACAAGTTGGCCGTCGTAAAAACAAATATCTTTAGCAATATGTTATATCGTCTTATTTTTTAAAATTCTTTGATGGAAGGTTATAAAATATCTTTCTTTATCTTTCAATGTGAACACATGACTTGTATACATTCTGATCATTAAGAAGATAGTTCTGATGAATTGAGAGTTTAACCATCCTTTTGGCCACTCAAATGACATTTGAAAAGCCAATTGACAGCTGATTAGTTAACTTCTACCATGATTACGCCCGGTTTCTGAAACACTGATCATCGTAGATGTCAACTAATCAGCTGTCAAGTGGATTTTCAAATGTTATTTGAGTTGCCAAAAGGATCGTTAAACTCTTGAATTGATCATTCTGATCATTAAGAAGATCATTCTTAGATCCTGATCTTTGATCTTGATCATTGTTAGTTGACATCTACGATGATCAGTGTTTCAGAAACCGGGCGTTAGTGTTCCAGAAACCGGGCGTCAGTGTTTCAGAAACTGGAACTGCGCTAATTATTTATATTTATTTATATATATATATATATATATATATATATATATATATATATATATATATATATATATATTTATTTCTGCAAAAGTATATTTAAGTGCGTTTGTGCATGTTTATCACTAAACATAAGTATGTCTAAAGTATTTTTATCCGTATTTTTGTCCGGTGCAGATTGATGAACGGATTTTAGTTCTGTTTATTTAGAGGTTCGGTCTTTAACACAGTTCCTCTCCTCGTTCGTTGCGCTAATTAGATATAGTGATAATTGGTCGATTCGAAAAGACTCGAATCGATTCTCCCCACTTCATCGGGTGACCTCCCTTATGCAGTGACGTCACGCATTGACGTCAAACTGGTCATATTGATTTCCTCGCGTTTGGTGATATTAATTCAAGTGCAAGTTATGTTTTAAGTACTGTTAAGTGGTCCCCGTCTATACCTTCAGTTGTCTACTTTGTCTTTGTCTTATATCTTGAAATGCGAATATAATTATATTTTCTTCTGCATTATCTTTCTTATAGCATACATAGGGACAGACAGACAGCGGGACGACTTTGTTTTATACTATGTAGTGATTGAAACCGGCCGTTATACACTTTATTGTACGCTTGCATTTTGTATTTTATATCTAAACAATTCAAGAATGCTGTGACCAATGTTTGATTTGGTCTTGCATGTATTTTCTCACTTTTATTTTGTTTTCTCACTTGCGGGCGTATGGAAATCGTATTCGGTACTTGAGATATGCGGGATTGGATGTAAAACGTATTTGTCGTCTAGTTAGCGAACGAAAACACATGGGATCAATGATGTTTTAAAGTATCGATGAAAAATGTACAGACAGAGCAGCGTTTAAAAATTGTTCCGCTTTACACAATATGACATACATAAGTGAACGTGACAGATGATGTAGAAAGTGTGAAACGGAAAGAGATAGCAATCTATAGAGTTGCAATCTAATTACACCGGCGTAGTTTGCCGCATTTTCTATCCGCTGGTGACATATAATTCGTATTTATATATTATATCATTGAGATGGGACAACTTTCTACGTGTCATGTGTAACTAGTGTCATAAATGAGGCGTCACATTACAAGTTGAACGTGCTATTGTTTTTTGTATCATTTAAAGTGTCCGTCGTGAAGTGGAAGGGCTATACTTCCGCGTTTCGTCTGGCGAGTGAGGTACAAGCCCACTTTATTTAAAAGGTGGCAACGCATTTGCAACACTACGGGTGTTGCAAACGTCCATAGGCGGCGGTTGTCACTTAACATCAGGTGAACCGCCAGCTCGTTTGCCACCTACTCACATAAAACAAGTAGTAACCGTATTTGTCATTGTAAATGGCACGGAAAGGGCAGTTTCTGCTGTTATCGAAAAGCCCGCTCCTCCGGGAAAGTACCCGCGGCTTTACAGATACTGGGGAAGTACCGCGGCTTCGCAGGAGACCGGTTAATTCCACTATCATCGCCCGGTATGCGAGGTAACCGCGACTACGCGACTATATCGATAGATACGATGCAACTCCACTGGTGTTCTGGACGTCCATCGGCGGCGGTAATCACTAAACATCAGGTGAACCGCCCGCTCGTTTTCCAACCTCACTCTTCGAGATATGCGTGTGAATTTGTCAAACGAGTAGGCAGCGCACCTAATGTTCTGTGATCACCGCCGCCCATGGACATCTGTATTCGTTGCCAAGCTAAGTAATGGACCGGCTACCTCACTCACCAGACGTAACGCAGAAGTATAAAACTTCCAAATCACGCTGGACTCCTGTGAGGCCGCGGTACTTCCCCGGACGTGCCTGCTTGGGAAAACTTTTGTGTTAAAGGTCATTATAATATCAGTGCTTATTTGATTTTGAATGGTAATACACCCTGGAAATGAATAGTCGCTCCAGGCTTCACCAAGTGGACTTTAGTAATTTATAAGCATGCTTTTTCTTGTCAAATAATCGTAAAAAATTGTCCCACTGGCATTCCTTCGCCGGTCTTCTCAGGTCAGTAGCTTTTTCCGAATCTGCAATAGTATTTTGACAGTCAATAAGTGAGCGTAATGCTTCTACTTTGAATAAAGATATTTGAATTCGAGAATTCTTTTTGACTATACGCAAGTTGTGATCCGATTTCTAGCCACGCCTGACTCACCGTTATTGCTAGCTTTCTTAACGCCACTTTGCACTTTTAGTTTAGACTCGCTTCGTGTCAGTAGATTAGAGGGGCTTGGTGGTAGAGACGCGCCGAGGGCCGTCAGAGATCTCGACGTAGACGTAGGCCCGGCTAACACCGACAACAGGTAACGGCGTTCATAATGCTTGTTGCCCATCCTCATCCATCTCGCTTTATCGTGCGGCAGTGAGCGAGCAAGCTGTATAACCTTCGAGAATGTTCTGCGAGTGAGCTTTGTTCATATACTTTTTGTATGTCTTATTTCTAAGGCTTTTATGCATGGCTGGTTAGGCAACGATTGATTTGAGAGTCTACTAGGAGACAGCGCACATGTATCTTAAAATATTGACTGCTTGTTCTGTTGTTAGAAAAAATAATTCAGTGTCACAGGCAGACACCAAGATAAATGAATCTATGTTACAAATTCTGTTACGTCTCCATCCGTCTATATTGTTCTTAACATCTATGTTGAAGCCACTGACGCGAACAAACCGCATTCCTGAAACGTTTTAAGAAATAAAGATCTCAGACGTTTCGGGGAACCAGTGGTCGCCAGCATAATTTCCGGATCGATACGTTTTAGGGACTTTCAAGAAGGGTGTCTCATCCTACCTGGAAGTTTAAAGGGAACCAACACGGAAAATACTTTGAACAATAAAAGTGAAAAGTGAAGTAACAGCCTATATATGTCCCACAACTGGGCAAGGCGTCCTCTGTACAGAGGTTATTTGGGTATAGTCCACCACGCGACCCCACTGCGGATTTGCGGAGATGACATATCTTAGAAATATATTTTTTTTTATTATTTCGAAAATATACTGGTCTCCTCGCGATGTTTTCCTTCACCGCAGAGTACGTGATAAGTCAGCACTTAATATTAAAAATTTCATTGGCGCTGGCACCAGGGTTCTAACTAAGTTTGCTCGAGTATGTTGAATTCAAAACGAGCGCGCGGCCACTGAGCTATCACGGCTCCCAAGCAATATAAAATCTGTAATATCTATTTAATAATTACGGGCACATACCGCAGTAAAGATAAGACATGCGGTTTATCATATAAATAAACATGAACAGCAGATAAGTAACGATAAATTGATTACGAGGATGGCTGCTGACAAATCAGTTCTGGGAATACATTGATTGTAATGGATAATCGTGCCACTTTTCATTGTTATCGGGATGCCACCGTAAAAAATCCCCGTTGCGGGATTTAGGGTTTCGAATTTCCAAAGACAAAGTTAGATTTATGTTTTATGTATGAAAATATGGCTATTCACTCGATGTTACGGGATAACCGCCACACGTGGACTTTGCAATTTGCAACAGCCCTAGGGCTGCAGATGCGTACTCACCTTTCAATAAAGTGGGGCCCGGCTACCATACTCAACAGATGAAACGCAAAAGTGTAACTCTTCGACTTCGGGCCTGCCTTTTGTGAGGCCGTGGCACTTACCCGGACGGACCTGCCCATTCGTGCAACAGTGAAGACTATTTCGCGGCCCTACCACAGTCAAAAATTGAAATAGAAAACTTTATTGTTAAATACGTGGTGTTAGAGAAATAATCTCATGGAGTCGCTCAGATTCGTTATAGCTATATAGCTCCCAGCCTTAAGTAATCTAATGAACAAGTATGAAGTCCGTAACTGAGCCAATTTAATCCCATTTAAGTTTTTTGCCGTCTCTGAGCGCGGGTGTTCATAATGTACCAAAAGGATTCGAATTAACAAACTTGGCGACCGCTTCATTATCATCCCAACTAAGCCTTAATGTGGTCTTAGGCGGTGAACACACTAGTTCGGTAAAATCGTGTTCACTCTTCGCTTCCAAATCGAACTGTTATGTACAATCCACTGTATGTAATCCCTGCATATTTATTTATTTAAAAACTTTTTCCACAATGGCGGACTCAATACTCTTAGGTGCTCTCTACCAGTCAACCGACAAATAAAAAGAGAAAATAAGTAGGTGCGAGAGAGGCAAAATAATATGGTTTTGTATGAAATATATACACAGTACTCATACATTAATATACACTTATATAAATATTATGTCGGCAATCTTGATTTATATATAAAAACTGTTCCATGCTTAGTCCGATTAACATTCTTTGTTACATGGTTGTCTGGCGTCATTAAACGCACTCTACAGCCTAATTAGTGTTTTCTTTTTTTTTTTTTTTAAAAGAACACAGTACCATCCTTACAGAACACAAAACTAGAATCGCAACTCGGAATCCAACAAGCTTATCTTTCTTTGATAAAAATGCTTTACACAAATCATTGCGTGATATTTGTAAATAGCAAATATAAAGTATGAATAATAAAATATATTGATATTGACAGATAAAATGTAGTAATTGTGCAATCAGAAACTCACCGGAAATACGGATCGAAATTGAAGATTGAAACAATTGCTGGACTTAATTAGGTGACAGTGACAGAAAAAGACAGTTGAGATTGATCTTATGTTCTTTTCAACTTGAATAAAGTTGCAATTTCAAAGACGTTATAACGTAGTTATCAAGAGAAAAGCAACACAGCGTCAGTTATCTTATTTGTAGAGAATAATAAATTATTATTATTCTCTATATATAAATTCATCTTATCGTAGTGCAAGCTGTATCGAAAGTGATTCTTTTTAATGTGCACTTTTAGTATTTAAGGAAATATCTCTCCCTATCTTTAAAAGTCGCCCTATCCTTACTCAGTATTAAATCGATAAACTGTGGGATTTGATTCCGTTCTTCTACTATACTATAATGCACTATTGGGATGCCTTCAGATGTTGGGTGTTAGTACTACTTTTTAATTGATGTCTTCGCAGTTTTTTTACAAATTTAGAGTTTGTGGTAGGTCTATGCAGCGGTTTCTATTATTGCACGAATGGGCAGGTCCGTCCGGGTAAGTACCAAGACCTCACAGAAGACCGGTGTGAAGTGGAAGTGTAGTATCTTCTGCGTTTCGTCTGGTTAGTGAGGTAGCCGGGGCCCACTTTACTAAAAGGTGGCAAGTCGTCTGCAACCGAGTGTTGCAAATGTCTATGGGCGGCGGTTATCACTTAGCATCAGGTGAACCGTCAGCTCGCTTGGCACCCTCTTACATAAAAACCCTATATGTGTATTGTATGAGCGATATGTTTTTTTTTTTAGATTTTCAGTAGTTATATTAAATTCTACTTTTGCAAAATCCCAATAGGCACGCGACGCCTTCGCAAAATCGCTCTTAAGCGACACCTTTCATTATTATGAATATCTGTTGGTCGCCCAATAGAACTAGACTAGTTGAAAAACAAACTTAAAGAGTCTCTTTTAGTCTTACTTCGTCTACAAAACGATTTCTTTTTGTGAACTATCAAAACGTGAAAGTCTCGCCACATTGCAATTTGCGTGTCAAATGTAATGGGTTGTTGTTATTGGTCACTTTGTAGGACTGCGAAAAGTCAACTTCAATCACTATAAACGTCCATCGTCACAAGCTTCTTGCAAAGCCTCATTCACATTCTGCATGTTTTGTTAAAATTATTTTTTTATACAATTTTACCTGCCAGATATTTTAGGTATCCGAATTATATTCTTTAGACAACATTGGATTGGAACTTTAGACACCATTGACAGTTATATATTCACTAAATTATTTCTATTGACTAAATTCTCAGTTGCCACATTTTAAAGAGCTAACATCTCTAGTTGCTAGTTTTATAGTTTAGTTCATAGTTTTAAAGCATGTAGGCGTTTGAATCGATTAATCATTGCCCCCTTTGTTTTTGTTTTCAGAGAGTCAGTGGTTGAGTAAGTAGTTTTCCCGTATGACGCTTTTATTATACCGGCTTTGATTTTCTAACTAGTACATGGCTTGTTCAGTTTGACGGTAGCTATTTTTGTGGATCGACATAAAACCTCCTTGCTGAATCCTTTTTTGACTAATTTAAAAAGGGTTTATGATAGGGACGTGGCGTTTGTCTAATTCAGATACATCGAGAAGAAATTGGCGGAGGCATTGAAAGAGGACAAGGGCACGGGTTGCGAGATCCCCGATTTGGACCCCTTCGCCAAGGAGGTCACCCAGTTCGACAAGGACCTTCCCAAGGTGGTCTGCCAGGGGAAGGACTGGGTGAAATGCTACGTATGTACTTGAATAACTTCAGTTCAAAGTGAGGGCGCGTGCAATTATCACTTGACAAGTTTACGTGTATTAAGATTAAAACCTGCTAGAGAAATAGAAAGAGATGGAGACGCATAGGGTGAGAGAGGGCATGAGGACGGGTCGAATGAGAAATGTACAATTGTAACACTTCTTACTTCAAGCTGGTCTTATGTGAGGTCGTAGTTCTAACCCGGACGGACCTGCCCATTCGTACAGCAGCGAACGCTGTTGCGTGACCTACTCCAGCTTTCCTGTAATGTAGCTGGATGAACATTTCTTTCTTTCTTTCTTTCTTTCTTTCTTTCTTTCTTTCTTTCTTTTTTTCTTTCTTTCTTTCTTTCTTTCTTTCCTTCCTTCTGTCTGTCTTTCTTTCTTTCTTTCTTACGAAACTCCGCGTTCAGCACGCAGAGTGCAGGGTGATCGACGAGATACGGGAGACGATGACGGGCATCGAGTGCACGTACAACGACATCGTCTACATAAACGACGACAAGTACGAGATCGGCCCAGACGCTGTGGTCCGCGGCGCCGGCGTCTACCGGCTCAGGAAGAGCGACCACGTCAAGATCAAGTGCACGGGGAACCACGCCAACAGGTAACTGGTTGGACGGTTGACGACGTCTTTAGTTCGCGTCGGGCGTTCAGGGCCGGATTTAGAGGCTCTGGAGGCGTCGGTGCAACAAACTAGGGGAGGCCCCTTGGCCCCAAGTTATTTTCCAAATGAAATGAATTTTTTTCAGTTTAAGATTTGAAATTTTCGAATGAACTTGATTGGCTAAGTGATAGTCGACGATTGATCTGCCTATCATGTCTTTCTTTTTAGGATTCCGCACCCAAATGGTAAAACGGATCCTATTAATAAGGTTCCGTTGTGTGTCTGTTTGTCCGTCCTTCTGTCACCAGGCTGTAGCTCATGAACCGTGATAGATAGACAGTTAAAATTTTTACAGATGATGTATTTCGATTGCCGCTATAACAATAAATACATGAAGATATTTAAGTGGGGCTCCCACACAACATATATGTTTTTTTTTTTCGTTTTTATACATTCGTTCGCAAGTCCGACTCGTAATTGCGCAGTTTTTTTATAGGCGTCATGTTTCCTGTCGGTCATAAAAATTATCCATAGACTGCACAATTTGGGAGTCGAACCCACGATACGCCGCTCAGAATCATACTATACGGAAGCAGTCACTGAGTATCCGTGTTAAAATCCTAATGAAATTGTCCACTGAATTGTTGGGTTCATTCACCGCGTTGTCGGGTGGTGAAGAGGACCTGACCAAGCGTCGCGACTGTCCCCTAACATTCTCAAAACACTGGAGGTACACCCCAGCAGTGAGGTGGACGCGTAGGCCGTCAATTCGCCTTTGAACAGTATAAAAAAAAAAGAAAAAAGGTAAAGTAACACCCTATACATATCCGGTTGCTGGGCAAAGGCCTCCACTTTTACAGAGTATCAGGGCATAACCCACCGAGCGGCCCCACTGCGGATTGGCGGACTTCGCATATTTTCGAAAATATGTAGGTTTCGTCACGATGTTTTCCTTCACCGCGGAGCACGTGATAGGTCAGCACTTAAAGTTAAAAACTTCATTGGTGCCGGCACCGGGGATCGAACTCAGGTTGCTCGAGTATATTGTATTATAGGCGAGCGCCCGGACACTGAGCCATTAGGGCTGTTTTTTTTGTTATATTCATGTGAAAAGTTGCCAAGCGAGCAGATGGTTCACATAATGTTAAGTGAATACCGCCACCCATGGACATCTACTACACCCGACGGTTCCAGATGCGTTGGCTCCGGCCACCTCACTCACCAGACGAAACTCGAAAGTATTACTCTTCCACTTTACGCCGGTCTTCTGTAAAGTCGTGGTACTTACCCGGACGAGCCTGCCCATTCGTGCAACAGCCGAGGCTTTTGCGTGGCCCCACTGCCGTATAGAACAGGGGCTTTTTCGAACAGCATACTGCCATCGAAATGGAAGGGCCACGGCGTCGGGTTCCGGTCTACGGTGCGTCCACAGACCCCGCCCCCTGGCAGGGAGGGCACCTTGAATGTGCTGATACTGGGATTCGACTCGACGTCCCACAACGGTTTCGTGAGGCGAATGCCGAAGAGCTACCGCGTGCTGCTCGACGAGCTGCAGGCCACCGTGCTAAACGGGTATGAGTGTTGTTCGTTCACTCGTTCGCCAATGCGACAAGTGTCGAAGTATGCTAGTCGACACGACTAGCATACTTCGACACTTTTCACATTGAGAACTGTAGAGAACATGTCCTATGTAACACGTCATCGTGGGATGTAAAAATGTGTCCCAAAATATTATAAAATGTTTTGGGACAAATTTTTACATAAAGTTCTTTCGTCTCAAACTAAGCAACGCTTGAACTATGGGTACTAGATAAATGATAAACATGCTTACACATTTTTTTTTACATAAGTACTTGCACCTTTTTTTAAATAAGTACATATATAAACAACCAGACACTGGAAAAACACTATGTTCATCACACAATATTTTTCCAGCAATTGGGATCGAACTCACACCCTCTGACGCAGGAGGCAGGTACACCACCCACTACGCCATTCGGGTTGTCATATATTATTTGACGGTATATCGACGTACACCTTTGTAGCAACATGTAAGAGGTGGTTGAGTAAAATTGCCAGTAAAATTTATGGCGTATTGAAAACTCGACATGCACCCTTTTAAGCGAAAAGTTGCCAATTGAACAGGGAGTTCAACTGATGTCAAGTGACCCACCCATGAATTTGTACAACACCTGAGGGGTTGATCTGTAAGCCGTCAGGCCCAATTTCCTTTTAATCGTGGCAACGCTAAAAACCAGCAAAACCACAAGTCAACAGAAATTGGGCTCCGGTTATGTACTCATCTGACGAAACAGTAAAATACTTTTACTTTAGCTAGTTGTCGTATAGGGTGTATTGCTGTGATGGGGCTACCATCACTGTTCCTTCTTTTCAGTTGCTTCGTTCATTCCAGTTCCTTCATTCTTTCCAGTTCTTTCGTTCATTACAGTTTCTTTATTCATTAAAATTCCTTGGTTCATTACAGTTGCTTCGTTAATTCCAGTTCTTTCCTTCATTCCAGTTCCTCGGTTAATTCTTGTTGCTTCGTTAATTTCGATTTGAAGCTACCTTTTTTTTTTTTTTGCTTTGTTTGTATCTTTTGGCACCTCCTTACTGTGGTTAAGCTTTGTTCCTTCAATCTACTACCTCTTACGATCATTCAGTGGTGTAATAATTCAATAAATCTGTAGATTCATAGATTTACTTTTGGAAATTTGTCACAACTACTTGTCGGTTTGCTCTGTTTACTTTCATTCAATGACAACACTGACCTAAAACTTTCAGCTACAACATCCTGGGTGATGGGACACCGGCTGCCTTATTCCCAATCCTTACTGGGAAGACTGAGCTGGAGCTCCCCGACGTGAGGAAGAAGATGAAGAACAACGGGACCCTCGATTCGATGCCCTTCATCTTCTACACGCTTAAAGAAGACGGGTGAGTCAATTGGTTATTAGATTAAAAAAAAGAACTGTTATCATTCATGTTTGTCTGGTTAACGTATCAGTTTCAGTTTGGTACTGTACGACGTACTTAGAGGACATGACGTTCCAGTACCGCTTCAGGCGGCAGCCGGCCTACATCCAACCTACGCGATCGGTGAATGAATGAACGAATGAATGAATTAATAAGTGTACATTTAATGTTTCTCACGGCCGTTGGTACCGCACGGGGCACTACGGGGACATGCCGTGGATCAGCATGCTTCAGTGCCGCATCTATTTTCACGCAGCAGCTGGCCAATCACAGACTGCACGCTCGATGAACGAATAATCGACTGACTGAATGAATGAACGAATGAATGAATGAGCGAGTGATCATCCAACGTGCCTGCCCACCCGCAGGTACCGCACGGCGTACTTCGAGGACATGCCGTGGATCAGCATGCTTCAGTGCCGCATCTATTTTCACGCAGCAGCTGGCCAATCACAAGCTGCACGCTCAATGAACGAATAATCGACTGACTGAATGAATGAACGGATGAATGAACGACCGAATGAATGAACGAGTGATCATCCAACGTGCCTGCCCACGCAGGTACCGCACGGCGTACTTCGAGGACATGCCGTGGATCGGCACGTTCCAGTACCGCTTCAACGGCTTCAGGCGGCAGCCGGCCGACCACTACCTGCGCTCCTTCTACCTCGAGGAGTCGAGCAGCGGCAAGAAGTGGTGGCACCTCGGTGCCAACAAGTACTGCGTCGGCGACACGCCGCAGTACCGGCTCATGCTCAACATCACCGACCAGGCACGCCGTACCTTTATTCAACGAACAGCCGTTATTAAAACTTGTAGAAAAAAGTACGAAAAGATTGTCGCCGCTGTGGGAATCGAACCCACGTCTTCGGCATTCGCGGCCTAACGCTTTTTAGCCACCAAGCTAAACGGCTGACTGCCACGCAGACGAAAATCTTAACGTTTTTTATCTACATTATTGTTTAATCTTAAGTGCAGAGATTAGCACTATAAAAAACTTTAAATTTCTGAACGGCCGTTAGTCACATAGATTCGTAACTTTCGTGACGACTTGTTGATAAAAGCCTTGTACGTCCAGTCTCTATATTAACAAAACGAGGCGTTTTCCTTAAGAGCCGTTGCATTACCTACGGAAAGTGGGTTACTAGCGTTCCTTTAATCTACAAGTCGTTATGAAAGTTACGAAGCTATGAACCTAACAGCCGTAAGTTGAATATAGGAACCGGGTGGAAACTGCGTTAGCGCAACGTATACATACATAAATGTAATAATTAAACCAACTTATCTAATTAACAAACAATGTAGAAGAATGCGTTAAGGTTTTCGTCGGTATGGCAATCAGCCGTTTAGCTCAGTGGCTAGGGCGTCAGGCCGCGAATGCCGAAGACGTGGGTTCGATTCCCACAGCGGCGACAATCTTTTCGCACTTTTTCTACATATTTTAATGTTCAACTTATCTAGAAATAATTTTTGTAATTTCGTCTTAATTTTTTAATTCAATATACTCGTGGAACATGATTTAACGTGACTAACCTATCACGTTAAGCGGTGAAGGAAAGCATTCGACGATATTGAAAAATCAAGAATCAAAATCAAATATCTTTATTCAAAGTAAGAGTATTATGTTCGCTCGTTGATCAAAATACTACCACACCGGTTCGAAAAAGAAAACCGTAGTGGGGTTTGTTGCTATCTCCTAATAACCCACGGGATACAACTTTCCCCCCTCCCCCTGCAGTTCCTGAAGCTGGACGGCAAGCGGTTCTGCTTCACGTTCATCGCGGACATCACCCACGACGACTTCAACATGATCTCGACGGCGGACGAGGACCTGGCGCGGTTCCTGCGCGACTTCCAGCGCCAGGGGCGCACCGAGGACACGCTGCTCCTGCTCATGGGCGACCACGGGCCCAGGTGGGAGCGGCGCGGGGCGTCTCGGATATATCCCTTCTGATAGCAATTGGCATATGCGTAAAGAGGGTTCTGAGGATGAAGTGCGAGCGAGACGAAGCGAAAGTGGGGGCGTACTTTTCATTCTTCATCCCTCGGTCACGGACTCACTGGCGGGTGTTGCTGTTTCGAGTGCTGTTTGGCTCGGTTCCGGCTTCGATAGATGAAGCATCCATGTGGGATGTGAGCGGGACTTGGAAATTAGAAAGAGAAAGCGGGAGATACTCTTCACCCCTCGGTCTCGGTCTCGTGAACTTAACTGTGGTTGGTCCACATAACAGCCTTCGCTGCTGCGCAATTGGAAAGATCCCCGTCCAGACCGACGAAGGCACTTAAAATTTCGCGTTTCAAGAGCCTACGGGCGAGCTAGCTACTTTTAGAGCCTATGGGCGGCGACATCGTTCGGGCGCAAATGTAGCGGACGCGGACCGTTGCAGGTACGCGAAGGTGCGCGACACGCTGCAGGGCAAGCTGGAGGAGCGGTTGCCGCTCATGGCGGTGGCGCTGCCGGCGCGGCTGCGGCGGGCGCGGCCCGCGGCGCAGCGCGCGCTCGAGGCCAACGCGCGCGCGCTGGCAACGCCGCACGACGTGCACGCCACGCTGCTCGACGCGCTGGGGCTGGCGCGGCTGGCCGGCGCCGCCAGGGTGCCCGGCGCCGACCTGCCGCGCGCGCTCTCGCTGCTCGACCCGGTGAGGGGGGGGGCGAGGGGGCTTCTTACTAGAGGGGAGTGACGGTGCCCGGCGCCGACCTGCCGCGCGCCCTGTCGAGTCGGAGAGGGGGGTGCTTTTTACTAGAGGAGGATAAGGGTGACGGCGCCGGCCTGCCGCGCGCGCTCTCGCTGCTCGACCCGGTGAAGGGGGAGGGGGTGCTTTTTACGAGGGGAGAGTGAGGGGGTGGGGGCTAGTCTGCTAGCCCAAGCTTGCCAAAATTGCCGGTATCAGATAGTGAAAACGATGTCAGGGAAAATGGCACTGGCGGTTGGCCTGCTGATTTAAAACCTCGGGTCCTGGTTCAGTCCCCATCGTTCGGGCGTAATCTCGCCTTCCGCTGGTCGATGGTGAGGATGGCCCAAGAGCCATCTCTAACTCTGACCGCGGTAGCGGCACTTATCTCTCGCTAGAGGTGTGTGAAAATTCTGTGACCGATCTCATCGAAAACCTTTATGAAATCGGTTCAAAATTCAATTAATTTCTTTATTCAATATAGAAGCATTACATTTACTTATTTATTTACATGTACCGGTTCAAAAAGAAAAACGGGAAATAAACTGAGTTAGATAATTTTTTCACCATTATTTTACCGTGAACAGAGACTCAAGAGCCTGGAACGATCAATTGTATAATAATAGAAGGGAAACTTCCAGATCCCCCTGAACCGGTCCTGCAGCGAGGCGGGGATCGAGCCGCACTGGTGCGCCTGCCTGGCCTGGCGCAACGTGTCCAGGGACGACCCCATGTTCCAGAGGAGCGCGGACGCCCTGCTGGCCTACATCAACTCGCTCACGGAGGGCGTCAGGTGGGATGCCCGTGTGAGAAGGTGGCAGTTCACATGATGTTAAGTGATGTAGAGTTTTTTTAAAGTGGGCCCCGGCTACCTCACTGGCCAGACGAAACGTGCAAGTATGAAACATCCACTTCACAGCGGTCTTCTGTGAGGTTCTTGTGCTCGGACTAAACTCCTCTCGTTGTCTTTTGTCATTCTATTCCCTAAAAACCGTACGTGTTGACAATGCGGTAGTTATTCATAAGTACTTGCTTAAAAAGTTCTAGATCAAAACATCTTAATGTTAAATTGTATATAATTAATTAATGATAGTTTTGGTTACATTATCTAGAATTTTGATAGTTTATCCGATTTATGAGATTGAATAATTATTTTACTTTGCACGAACTTGTGTGCGTGTTAGCTATGAATGATCGTGCGTAAAATAAATGCGTTGCGTATAAATCACGCACTTTTTGAAATGAGTTCAAATGAATGTAACCAATTACTTACGAGTGATTTTAAATGTTTATCATTGTTTCATGTAACATTATTTATGTCTAGAATTTAATTAAAAAAAATGGACACACTTAGAAAATCCACCCTGTATATAAAATGATGAGCACTACAACGTGATGCTCAGGGAGGCGTGCGCGGTGTGTAACCGTGCCATAGCCGTAGTAGTGTGACCACGATGCGATGCTCAGGGAGGCTCTGTATAGAAAGCGGCTTCGCCCCACGATGTGACGCTATATAGCCGATGCGGCGCTCAGGGAGGCGTGCTCGGAGCGCGCGCTGGCGCTGGTGGCGTGGGTGGTGCGGCGGCGCGCCAACGGGCGGCTGCTGGCCTTCGTGGCGGCCAAGGACGCGGACGGCTACGTGGGCCGCTTCGGCGCCACCAGCCGCCCGCCGCAGGAGGACTACCAGCTCAAGGTGCGCCCCTCTACGTGTAGGCTATTGCTACTAATCCGGCTCGAAGGACCAAAAATGTGCCCAAATGTGGGATGGATGAGCTTATGTCAATTGGATGGCGGTCAGGACTGTCAAAAGTTTCCCGACCGATGTCATTGAATTGATGACTCCGTGGCGCAGTCGCCAAGGTATCGGCTTCGGCGTCGGGGGTCGTGGGTTCGATCCCCACACGGGACAACTATTTGTGTGACCCACAGATAGTTGTTTCGCATCTGGGTGTTTGTCCGCGTGAAATTTATGTTTGTACAAAACGTCCTTACAACACAGGATAATATTATCCTAAAGTAAGGGCAGTGTTAAAAAAAAATGAAAAAAATGAAAAATGAATGCTTTTACTGCACTAAAAATATTAAAATTATAATTACGAGCTAAAGTATATGACTAGGTCGCGCACACGAGCGCTTGCAAATGTTAATATGTCGTGTGTGCAGTTTTGTTATACAATAGAAAATGTACGGCTTTGCCTGTACACGTATGGCCCCCTTTCCAGATGTCGATTCGCTGGCACCTCTGTACTGCGAAATGGGACTTTAGAAGCCACTGGAGGACTACCAGCTCAAGGTGGTGGGTTTTTGCCCCGCGCCTTTCTTTCTGTCGGATCACCGGTACCTCAAAGCCCCACGCGGCTCCGCTTAGTCCACCATCTCAAGGTGAAGCTTCGACGCCACCAGCCCCACCCCCTTCCCAAGAGGACTACCAGCTCAAAGTAAGGCTTTTGCGTATGGACGCCTTTCTAGCTGTAGGTTCACTGGAACCTCAAAGCCGTAAGGACTACCAGCTCATGCTGATGAGGCTTGCCGCATGGGGGCATTTCTAGTTGTTGGCACACTGGTACTTCAGAGCTGCAGGAGGTCTACCGTCTCAAGGCGGGGTGGTTTTTGGCCTATTTCAAAATGCAATCTCGATTTCCACCCCCCAGATCGTGGTGGGCCCCGGCAGAGGGGTGTACGAGGCGTCGATAACCTACGTCACCGCAGACGACCGCTTCGTGATCGACGAACGGGACATATCCAGGACCAACGCGTAAATATCCACTTCTCCAGAACCTTCCCCCATCTTTGGAAATTTTAATGTTCACATTGCTAATCCAACTGCACTTAAGATTAAACCATGAAAATTTGTAGAAAAGAGGACGGAAAGTTCTTCGCCGCTGTTGGAATCGAACCTACGTCTTCGGGATTCGCGCCTTGACTTTTTTTAACCACTAAGTCGCCCAAGTGGCCAATTGTCGCGCCGATGAATATCTCAAGTCTTTTATCTACATTGTTTTTTTAGATTTTGAAACAATTTGTTTACTCCCTATCCTTTACTTTATAATAATATATACTTCTCTTTAACGTAACCCTCGTGTACAGTCAAATATAAAAGTTTACCTCTCGCCCTATCCAGGTGGGCCGTTCGCTTTTAATTCAATATACTCGAGCAACCCGAGTTCGAATCCCGGTGCGGTTCGATAATAGTAAATTGCAATTTTAAGCGCTCACTTATCACGTGCTCAGTGAAGGAACGCGTATAGCAACCTGCATTTTTTCGAAATAATAACAAAAATCAATTATTTCGAAGATGTCTGAAGGTCGCCAATCCGCAGTGGGTCGCGTGGTGGACTATGCTCTAATACCCTCTGTATGTAGGAGGCCTTTGCCCAACTGTGGGACGTACATGGTCTTTGCCAAGCAGTGGGACGCATATAGGGTGTTACTTTACTTTTTTCACTGTCCAGGTACAACGACGAGCCGAGCTGCATCAGCGCCACCCATCCGCACCTCAACAAGTACTGCTACTGCAACGACTGACCTTGAAGCCACTCAAACGTAACGCCAAACGAAAACGCGAACTTTCCCGTTCACCTGTACGCGATTGTACACGATGCCTGCGCGCGATTGTACCATACTCTACGTATAAGTTAGTGTAAATAACCACCGTTTTAGTGTACACGGTGTCGAACGCGATACACGATGAGTGTACGCGATTGTACATGATTCGTATCGCGATTGTACCATACCTACGTAGCTCGCGATTGTACCTTCCCTATGTATAAGTTAGTGTAAATAATCACAGTTTTTGTGTACACGTGTACGAACGCGATTGTACATGATTTGTGTGCTTAGTAATCACTGTTCGAACGTACAAGACTTCTATACGTGAATGTAAACGTTGTGCGCACGCAAATTTGATACGGTATACTCGAGTGTGTTAGGCGACTGTACATTACTTATGTACGCGACTGTACGTGCGTTTACGGTCTAGTAAATGATGCGTACATTCATACTCAAGTGATAACAGTCTTGTACGTATACAATATATTCGTATTTATAATACATTTTAATACACGTAAGCGATGGGTTTTATATGAATGGCTGCTTTCATAATCGCTCGACGATAAACGACTTTGCCGAAACGGCTATAACTATTATTTATTTGTTATTTTAACAGCTATTAATTTATTTGAAAAGTTGCTCCGGCGGTCAAAATTCGTCGCGTACTTACCAAATATATCATACATACTCGGATTGTGAAGTTTAACTTTTACTTAGCTAACCTTTCCCGTGCGAAATTCGAACCCGCTTATAGTTGCGCAGAAGCCGACAGCTCGGCAACTGCGCCCTATAGGTTATCCCATTTTTTTAAAAGGGGAATAATTAGTCAAACTTAGTCAAAGGAAACCCTCCTTTGACTAACTTTGACTAATCTGTCCACACTTTATGAAGTTTTGGGTAATATACAGGGTGGCTTTTATAAAGGTGCCCAAATTCGCACAGAAGGTTCATACTCGGTAGTATAATCGTTTATTGAAATAAAAACAAACTTTTTTTTTTTCAAAAAAATTGCCACTCTATTCCCTTAAAACAGAAATTGTTGACAATGCGGTAGTCATTCATAAATGCGTCGTTTACTTTTGAAATGAACTTGTGTGCGTGTTAATTATGAACGATCGCGCGTAAAATAAATGAGTTGCCCATAAATCACGCACTTTTCGGGATAACTTCAAATGAATGTATTTAATTAATTACGAGTGATTTTAAATATTTATCATTTTTTCATAACATTATTTATGTCTAGAATTTAATTAAAAAAAATGGATACACTTAGAAAAGCCTTCTTGTATATTGGCCGGGAACCCTTAATACGTGTCTAAAGTTTATATTACAGTATGCTTATGTCAATACAATAATATATTCATTCGTTACAACAGTTTGCTTTATAAAATCAAAGGCTTACCGCCAAAAGGCATAGACTGAATTTTACTTTTCCAAAGTATCCAACGTCGAAACGGCTTTAATACGGTAATTTTAGATCTTAACTAATGTATGTAAAAACATTTTTTTGAAATTGAATTATTTAGCTTATCTGTATGCTATTTCGCTTGTATTTACTGAATCTTTAATTAATCTCTTTGTTTGTTTCGTCTGATGTATACAGAACGTATGTTATTTTAGTATAATTATAATGTCTATTTATTATTAATAGATACTGGCACAATTTGTTTTCGAAAATATAACACCTATATGCAATATAACTCCAAACGCATTGTAAAATTGATATCTGTATTAGAACTCGGTGAGACGTAAATAAAAATAAAGTTTGAAGGAAACGACTAGAAAGTTACCAAATGTATGTAGATTGTAGGCTGCTGCAAATTTATAAAGTACTTTAAAAGTAAAAGGTAATTCGTAGTATGTGTCTTTTTGTTTTAATAATTAGATTAGATATTAAACCTAAATTTATTTTGGACCGTCTCAATTGTATTAGTAGTTGTTATTATTATTTACTAATTTATAAGCGAAGAATCCTGAACGGAAACACAAATATGAAGGTACAATTAAAGCGAAAGACACTGTACTAATTCTTGCTGTATTAAATTAGTATTTTGTTCGTATTAAGTATATACAATTAGTTCGCGTAAGAGGATTTTGATAAACTATAAATATCACTGGAACCAGTGTTGAAAGTGTTACTACGTGTTATGCGCCAACTAATTCTCAGGTTTGTACTCTCAACGTAAATAGCTCGACTCGGAATTAAACTTAATGACCTGCACTAAATGGTGAGCAGTTTAGCAGCCACAACCGATGGACAACATGGTGTCAGCTTACAGTTGCTTTAGCGGCTGTATGTACGAGTACCGTCCTCTCGTTCGCACCGCGGTGCTATAGCATTCTATCTCGCTCTCACTGCACCGATACGTGCATTTTCATTCATACAACACATTGAGTAAAGTATTTGATGTCTTTCTTGTATTAATCATACACTTAAACATTAAACACTAATAAGACATACCTCAGTATATTTCTTACAGTGCCGGAAACCAATCTTAACATAAATATGAAAAGACTATCGGAAAGCGACATACCTATTACGGATATATGTTTGCCTACCGACGTCACTTGTCTACCACCCTAGTGCTGCTTAGCTCCTGGAATAAGACGTAATAGTATAATCATGTCGTAGTGTTATGTTCTCGCTTTAATTGCTGTTTGTTGTTGAGTATTTACATTTGTGTTTATAAAAAAAGTAAAAGTACATATCGTGTTTTTATTTGTCCAACCGCCTCGACAGCTGAGTCTGTTATTTACGGTCCAGCATTTGGACGTATAGTCGTGAGTAATTAAATGACAATCTTTTTTCACCTGATGTTAAGTGGATGCCGCCGCCCATGGACATCTGCTACGCCCGAGGGTTTTCAGATGCGTTGACAACCTACCAAAGCATTTGTCATTATAATGACGGGTAAAAATTGTTAAAGAAACTGTTCCGGTTCAAATGTTGTATAGAACGATCCCGTTCCATGTATACTTTAAAAGTTTAAGTGATGTTTTCAATATTAACGCGGCGTTCAAGGTCAGGTAAATTTATATAAATAATAAATAAATGTGCCTCATTTTTACACTACTTTCTCTAGCCCAAAACTAATCAACCTTTCTACTATTATATAGGATAATGACTGCTTTTCTGGAGGAGGCACGCGCTGGCAGTTTTGCTGCGTGGTTCTTCTATAGTAGTAGACTTCTCCTTATGTGGTGACGAATTCTACGAATTAATCCTAATAGTGAAACAATAAAACGCATTTGCGGCCTCGTTCAACTCAACAAACAGTCATTCCTGTTTTATTTAAATGTGTAGTTTTGAGGATAATTCGTAATTTCTTGTAACTGTTATACGTTACGATGGGGTTGGGGTATTTTGTAGATAAATACCCCATTAAAATAAAGATAATAAATAAAAATCTACGAATTGCACGTAATACGAAATGAGGTTGACAAAGTTGTCTGTTAAAGTTTAATGTTTAGGTCTTAATCGTAAATAAGATAAAGTTTTACATAAAAAAATATTTATTAATTATTTTACATGAATATTGGTTAATATTCTACACAATGATCAAATTAAAAAAGCAACATAGCATATTTATAAAAGTCATGTCATTTAATAAAAATAAAACTGGCCATTTTAATAAATACAAAATTATGGCCATCTATGTTGTTTTTATTTTACGGTGGTTTTACAGAATTGAAAATGCGCGCTCCTTAAGTCGGAAATTGTCATATGTAAAAAGCTGCATAGCGGAAGACAAGAACAGAGAATTAAAAAGGTAAGATAACTAATTGTTCAGAAAATTAATATTTTATTAAAGATCTTTTAAAATGTTTCAGACGTATAAAGTGATTTATTTGATTAAGCTAGCGTCGTATAACTAAGTTTTTGTACTTAATAGCCTCATGTGAACCCTCGGAATCCTTTTTCACAGCCAAAGTCACCATCGACGTTCATCATCAACGTCATCGTTCTAATATGTACAATGAAATAAAATCACACAAATTTACGAATATTCCATAACTAGTTTTTTAAATGGCAGCAATTTCTCTTAAAACGAGTTACACGGCTTAGAATGATTTGCTTCTCGTGGTATCAATTAGTAAGGTCCTTCTTGAGACGGATACCCGCCGGAGTAGCCCCCTTGGCCGTTCCTCCCGTAGCCCCCAAATCCTGAGCCGACATCCTCGTACGAGATTCTCGGCTTGTACCCGTTTTGATCGGCTTCATACTCGACGGTCTGGATAGGGACACACAAAATATATTAGGTACAACCACTTTTGACTCCAACAAGGGAGGCTGTGTTATACGTTTCGTTTATAAGGTCACAAACGTAACAAGTAATAAGCTTATTGTTTTAAACATCCACAGATATGAAGTAGTACTATTCGTTGTCCTTTTGCGATAACACCCAAACAGTCGGCTCACAAGGGTGAATTAAAGCATTAAACAACGATTTTTTTAGGCATTACGTGTTAAGCTATGTGGTTTTCTAGACGTGAAGAATTGGGACAAGTCTATACTTTTTTAAGTGTATCCATTTTTTTCAATTAAATTCTAGACATAAATAAATTTATATAAAAAATGATAAATATTTAAAATCACTCTTAATTAATTAAATACATTCATTTGAACTTATCTCAAAAGTGCGTGATTTATGGGCAACTCATTTATTTTACGTGCCATCATTTATAACTAACACGCACAAAAATTCGTTTCAAAAGTATACGACGCATTTATGAATGATTACCGCATTGTCAACAAGTTCTGGTTTTTAGGGAATGGAATGGCAATTTTTTTGAAAGAAAAATAGTTTGTTTTTATTTTTATAAACGATTGATTGATTATACTACCGAGTCTGAACCTCCTGTGTGAATTTGGGCACCTTTAGAAATGCCACCCTGTATAATTTTTGCTAGTAGGTTTTAGCTAGACGTGGGTAAGAGTTATTTTCGCCCATAAGAAAACCTAAAAAACAACTTGTACACGCCGTTGTATGGTACAAATGATAGAAGCGTTTACAAGTTTCCCTTCCTACCTGTTTCCTGCCATCGGGCAACAGGACATAGTAAAGACCCTCCGCCCTATCCCCTTGCCTCGATTCCCGATGGCCGAAGTCGTTTCCCGAAGCGTCGTCCTTCACCATATACTCGAAACTGTAGTTAGCTGGCTCCTGCAAATAATACGTGACTTATTTTATGAAACAACCGAGCAGTTTGTTTATGGTTCCGAAGCGAGAAATCAATTTCGTTTTTATGTAGACAACTGTCGAACTGCAGTTTTTGTTTAGTGGTTCCGTCCCACGCGGCACCACGCGGCCCCAGTGTGAATTTGCGAACTTCACATATCTTCGAAATATGTTTTTTATTATTATTTCCAAAATATGCACATTTCCTCACGATGTTTTCCGTCACCGCTGAGCACGTGATAATTCAGCACTTGAAATTAAAATTTCATTAGCGCCGGCACCGGGGATCGAACTCCACTGAGCCAGGACACTGAGCTATTGCGGCTTCGGAAAGTATACTGATATGATATTGGTAGAATTCTGTTAAGAGAGGGAATTGATCAAAAGAACAAATTAATTAATAAAAGCTTGTTTTTTTTATATATTTACTTAAACTTTTAAATTGTTGCAGACCGTAAAATTCGAATTGCTTTTCTCGGTTTACACTTTTCTCGCAATGAACTTCACATTTGTGTTCAGGCAGCGAAGATTGTTATGTGGCCCTACCACATAGGTAGGAGACTAACGTCCGGTTTCTGAAACATGGATCATCGTAGATGTCAACTAATCAGATGTCAAATGACTTTTCAAATGACATTTTAGTTGCCAAAAAGATGTTTAGTCTCTGAATTGACCAGATTAATCTTCTTAATGATCAGAATGATCAATTCAGACTTTAACCATCCTTTTGGCAGAGTGTCAGTTTTTCAGTCAATTCAGTGTTACAGAAACTGGACGTCAAAGTTACGAGGCGTTATTCAACGTACGCCGTTGCTTCCATCGCCACCGGAGTAGCCGTTTCCGCCAGGCGGCAAGTACTGTCTGCTCTGAGCACCAGAATCACCGCTTTGCGCAGACCCAAAGCCGGCGCCTGTAGAAATACAAAGAAATGTGCATGTATTTCTTGTCACTAGTGAAATATCTGAAAACACAACGAGGGCTATAGTTTAGCTTGAAGGTTGGGTGCTACCATCAGCTTGTGATCCTATTATTAATAAAATTAAATCTAGACCCAAACGAACCTCTACTGTAAGACAAGATAAAATTAGCTTGTTCTCTGCGTAGATCGCCACAGAAATTAATAATTAAAAACTGGCGGTAGCCCGGATTAACAATATCATTCAGACGTCCACCGCCTCAGTCTATAGATAAGACATATATATACTGCCTCCGTCTGTCCCGTGACCATGAACGCTGTAAAGGGTTCGAAGCGTCGGGAATTAAAACCAAAAATAAACGCGATAAATCCTTACACATAGTTTCATTTAGTATTAATGAAAGAAATAATTTTTGGCCATCTCGCCTTAAATTCAAATTTTCCGCATGGCAATGAAAGTGTTCAACGCCAGCCCTCGGGTGTTGTAGAGTTCCATGGCAGCTATTATATATTTATTTGCTACAAAAAAAAAACTTAAGTACCTACGTCGAATCAAACTTACCAAGTCCAGGCGTCCCGTACGACTGCGAAGGTATCGCGGGAGCGCCGTACTGGGTGGCTGGCCTTTGGTACCCGAAGTCCGCGCTCATTGAAGACCTGGGGCTGCTGTACAGCGCTGAAGGCGCGCCGTATTGCGAAGATGGACGACGCGCGTTCGACCGTTGGCCGGGCGCCCCGTACGTAGAGGACGGACGACCCCTTTGAGGAAAACCAATGATATCACTTTCACTACATAGTATAAAACAAAGTCGTCCCTATGTATGTTTAGATCTTTAAAACTACTACGCAATATTCACTAGATAGAGTGATTCAAGGGGAAGGTTTATATGTATAACACACTGCACCCGTGCGAAGCCGGGGCGGGTCGCTAGGTATATACAAATAAGAGGTAGATATGACACTAGTGCAACTGAGGCACTCAAATTACGCCAATTGGTGATGTTACATAGCAACTCTATTGACTGCTATCTCTTTCCCTTATATCATTCACACACTATATTATTTATCACATTCACTTATATTTGTAGTAAAATGAAAAGCGGAACAATTTCCGTTGTCGTGCAGTATGGACATGCGTCATCAAATAATAAAACATCACTGGATTGATGATTTGACATGATTTTTTCTATTAAACCTTGTGTTGTTTAATCCAACTTAATAAACTATCTAAAGTCTATAATGTCTGCCACAGTCGCGATTTTCGTTGCAAACAAAATCGTTTATAAGAAGTTGTTATTTCTATTGACTATGGAAAACAGCACAATACAGTTCGTAGTGTCTATGCATCTTATTGTTTTTAGCTATAAGAAATGTCATTCAATCTTTATTTTTTTATTTCCTATGTTATCAAGCGAGCGTTCATAATCATAACACCCGAGGACTTGCAAAAGTTAAGTTAGACATATCCAAAAGAGGATAAAAACCCCAAAAAAAATTCTGATTAAATAAGACCTTTAAAAATGGGTCCAAATTAAATTATTTTACTTTACGTTGGTCTTCTGTGGGGCCGTGGTACTACGTCCCCGGACGAGCCTGCCCATTCGTGCCACAGATGAAGCTATTGTGTGGCCCTGCCACAATCTTCAGAACTTATTGTCATTGCTTCTTACCTGAATATGGCGTCTGTTTGCCGCTGGCCTCCGAACCCTGGGGCCCCGTAGCTCCGCGAAGGGACTGAACCTCCCAAGTCTTGTGGTGGGAGGTACCTTGAACATTATAGCTTGTTTGAAGGCTATAAATACCCTTGAACATTTTAACTTATTTAAAGGCTGTATAAACCCAGTTCCATCCTTAATCGAGTAGAAAGAAATCATAAAACATCTCCAAATTCAAATTCAAAATACCTTTATTCAAATAGACGCTTGCGCGTTCTTATGAAACGTCGAAATTTACATGAATAATTAATACATAAGGTTCGTAAGTAAGTTACCATCGAATCCGAGTAAAATTGTGTAGTTGTAAGACGTGGGAGTGTTTTATTCTTTACTAGCTGCTGCCCGCAGAAGAATAGCCCGCATAATAAATAGAGTAGAATAGCCTGTAGGCGTAACATTCAGACAGAAAGACAGATATACATAAAAATACGTATATAAATTATAGCCTGTGTGTTATTCTGATGTATAAGCTATATTACTGTAAAGTTTCATTAAAATCCATTCAGAAGTATTTGCGTGAAAGAGTAAGAAACATCCATCCATACATACAACTTTCGCATTCATAATATTAGTAAGGATAGTAGGGAAGTAAGGATAAATTTATGATGTATTTTGAATGAGACATTGGGACTGTTTTCTAATAGGAACTTAATTAATCAAAAGTATCGAAGTACTTACTGATTATTAACCGGCGGTTCAGCTAATGTTGACGCCAGAAATAATGCAAATGCGGCGACAATCTGAAATAAAGACAGTACAAATATGTCGCCGTATTAAAGGTTTACTTGATAACTTTTATTTTTATGAGAGCTTGGAAAAAAGCTAGTAATTAAAGTAATATTTCCTTTGCCTTCGACTTTTGATTATGGGTATGTTTTTTGGATGATTTACAGGGTGATAATTTCCTACTTTAATTGTAGATATAATTTAAACTTACCTTCATTATTAAATTTCTTGATATCCTTTCTTTGTTCCTCGAAATTCTTATTCTGTAATAAAACAATAATATATAAAATTTATTGATAAAATTATCTACCTACACTTAAAATTAAGTTTATTTGTATAATTTTTAGTTTGATATTCTTTGATTTTAAGTTTCAACGTTAACAGAGAAAAGCATCCTAGTAGCATTCTAGAGTGCTATAGTACGAGAATATGGTATAAATAGAAAGTCTTTTATTGTATATGGGGTGCTTGGAAGGATTGGCTTTTATGAATTATTCTGCCGATTGTGTTTAAGTTATTTTTAAGGGCTCCGTACCCAAAGGGTAAAACGGGACCCTATTACTAAGACTACGCTGTCTGTCTGTCTGTCTGTCACCTGTACCTCATGAACCGCGATGGTTGGCCAGTTGAAATTTTTACAGATGATATATTTCTGTTGCCACTATAACAACAAATACTAAAAACTAGAATAAAATAAAAAGTATTTAAGGGGACTCTTATACAACAAACGCGAGGCGGTTGCTAGGCAACCTACAGGTACTTACAGTTTATTTAGTAGTTAGTACTTTTAGTTTATTATAGATAATGATATGGAACTCTTTGTGCGCGAGTCCGACTCGCACTTGGCCGGTTTTAATATATTCTTTTATTTAAATAAACACTATATACTGTTAAATAAAAATGCATTCAACAATTTGAGAGCGTTTGTAATACCCGACGCGAACTTTTTGAATACTTATTTCCAAAAAGATTAGAACGTCACGAGTTAAAAAAAAATTTGGAAGCGACAACGTGTTTATTTAACAGTTAGTTTTTATCTTATACCTTACGCAAAATGTACACGTCGATTGTAAGTTGCAATTAAACTTTCAGCAATGAAAACGGGGGCCCGTTGTGCGTGTCATAACCACACACGATGTTGTCTATTATTAATATCGTGATCTTAGTTTTTTCTAACGGAACGACGTCAGTAGGATATAAGCTTGTTATTTGACGTGAAGCTCACGAACGGACTGAATTTTAGGTAATACTTTCTACAGGAGCGATTTACGTAACTGTGCTACTGACAATCTAGTGTCCATATATCTCTAGTGATTAACATTCGTTAAATATGTTTACTTAACGTGGCAATCTATGTGCAACTGTTCGGGTGTTGCAAGTCTCCATGGGCGGCGGTTGCCATTTAACAGGTGAACCGCCAGCTCATTTACCACCGTATCACATCAGAAACTCACCCAGCAGAGTCTAAATAGTAAATAATTTAGATTGTCCTGATGTAAAACAGGTCTATATTTTTATTAACGAAAATTAGATTGTTCTGATGTAAAACAGGTCTATATTTTTATTAACGAAAATTAGATTGTTCTGATGTAAAACAGGTCTATATTTTTATTAACGAAAATTAGATTTTTCTGATGTAAAACAGGTCTATATTTTTATTAAAGAAAATTAGATTGTTCTGATGTAAAACTATAGATGTAAGGTCTATATTTTTATTAACGAAAAGCAAAACCGACTTCAAATATAGTATTGATTTTGGTTGATTTTCAGGAGTTCCCCAAGTATCTACGGAGCCCAAGATCCAACACCAATGAAACTAATATGGGACCACATGTGAAGCACCAGCTTTCAAATAAAAAAAGAATCATCAAAATCGTTTCCCTCAGTCAAAAGTTCCGAGGTAACAAACATAAAATAAAAAAAAAATACAGTCGAATTAAGAACCCTCTTTAAAAGTCGGTTAATTAAAGTAAAAGTAATTTTTAAAGTCGGTTAATTAAAGTATACTGGGAGGCCTTTCTAAGTGTATCCATTTTATTAAAATAATTTCTAGACATAAATAATGTTACTTAAAAAATGATAAATATTTTAAATCACTCGTAAGTAATTAATTACATTCATTTGAATTTATCCCAAAAAGTGCGTGATTTATACGCAACTCATTTATTTTGCGCGATCATTCATAACTAACACGCACACAAGTTCGTTTGTGTGCGTGAACAATAAAATTTAGATATTTATGAGGTTGTCAACAAGTTTTGTTTTTTAGGGAATAGAATGGTAAAGTTTGTTTTTATTTCAATAAACGATTATACCGAGTCTGAACTGATGCTTAAAAAAATAAGTTCTTTTTTCGTTTTCGCCTCCGCATAAGTGTCACCTAAAGTCTTAAGCGTGACACTTGAGTGGTGAAAACGAAACTAGCATGTTAATTTTTTTAGGTGTCCCTTAAAGTTAGGACATCGACGGCGAAAACCGAGTCGTAGTAATAGTGTCCCGTTTTCCCATTGGGTATGGAACCCTAAAAATTAAATGCATTTATACTGCAACAGAAAGTTCGAAAGTGTAAAAAGAATGGCTAACGAAGAGATTCTTCTCTATTAGCTACTTATAAAGAAGACGTCAATGTGGGGAGACTGCGATGACTCCGTGGAGCAGTTGTTAATGTAATTGGCTCGGCAACCAGGGGTCACGGATAACACATGACACGGGACAACTATTTGTGTGGCCCACAGATAATTGTATCGGATCTGGGTGCTTGTTCACGTGAAATTTATGTAAGTAAATGAAAGGTTTTTAAATCACAGTCAAAATTTTAAACTCTATTAAATTAAGAAGAAAAGTGAAGAAGAGTGTGTATGCGGTGACCAAAGTCATCCACGGTACCTCCAAACTAGTTTCTGTCACTAAAATGTAACAGGGTTAGCCGCACGACACCTTAATTAAGCACATAAGAGGTCGAAAAAACGGAAAAGTCATTGATGCAAGCCTGGGGCTCGAACCCGTGACCGTTAACATCGACTGTCCGACACTAACCAATAGTCTATCGCGGTCGACAATTAAGAAAATACGAAAAGTCCACCTACCCGCAAAGTAGCCGAAGACGATCCAAACACTTGCGGTCGAATGGTGAAAGATCGATGTACTTTAGCCTTATATACTATGCGAGTGATTAGCGGGTACAGTGAGGTGCATGTTTCGGCGGATCCTCGCCGTGCGCCGACTGTACCCCTGTGTGTGTGTCCGCGAATGTAAAGAGACTGGAGCATCATCTAATTCGTCTGACATGTTGCTCTACTTCACAATTGATTTCGTAGCATCTTTCTCCATGTTGTGCGAATGATTGGGTCGGTGCTATGTACTTTCAAGTGTTATAGTGGTATTAACAAAATAAGTAAACATATAAATGTAAGCAATAGTGGCGGAATAAGGAATGAAGACCAAAAGCTTGTGGAGAACTGAGAAAAAGGCAAAAAAAGTTACCAACAAAGCGAACTTCACCTACAAAAACTCATTTTAAACGTCTTTTGACATCTTTTCATATATTATATAACTTTAATATTTAAATTTGTAACATTTTTGCGTTACGCGCCATCTTGTTCTTATCTTAAAATGTTCCTCTAACGCCATCTAGTGTTGAATAGGGGGTTTTATGTCGTCTTTATTCTTTTGTGGTTTTAATAGTTGACGCTAGATGGCGTTAGTTCCTTTGTGTGTTCATAACAATATATATATATAACATATATATATATATATGTTATATTAAAGTGATCAGCAAAATCAAAGGGTTTATTTTAATTCTAATTCTAAAATGTAAACAATATATTTCGTATTTCAGTTACCATAAGCCATTAATAACACAAATATATAATAACGACATCAATGATAGTAATAATTCTATTACAATTTATGAAATTCAATAATAATATTTGTAGTAATGACAGTGCTAGCTCTAATACTTCAGAGCACGACACTGTAGAGACTTCCTCTTCTCCAAAGGCAGGCGTCTTCCACCGAAGACACAATCTGAAGCTGACCGATGATGCTCTTCGAAGCCTCGATCGGCTCCTGGAACTTGCGGTTGCGACGTCGATCCAACGTCCGCAAGTTAGGTTTTCCAAAAAAACTTAACTAACAACGGTCAAACCATAGTGTGTTTTAATTTACTACTAACGCCACCTATGTATTACAAATAAGAAACTAAATATTATACAAAGCTAAAATGAAATAATTGTAGAATTTGTATTGTCTATGATAATAAAAGCCTTTTATTAAACTTTATCTAATTTAACTTTATTTAACCAATTTCTGTAAAGTTGTATATAGTAAATTATTTTTTGAAAAATAACGTCATAAAAAAGTTTCACTTCTTACGAGTGTACGCTAGTACACGCACACATTTTTTTTTATTTATTAGTTATTTCTTGCTGAACAAATTTAATTTAATTTAAATTAAGTGGAGCATACTTTCGATTATTCGTTAGACAATCCAAAAGCCATAACTATCGGTGCGCACTACTTTCGGCGGCGAATGCGGTTCTCATCTGACGGCTCGATATAACTTCACGCTTAACGACAGCGGTCGTAAGCAGGCGCCTCGTCTAATTGATGCTATGGAATTGCACCATAGATCCCTCAGAAGCGATCACGATTCTACCGAGAAGCTGGTTCATCCCATAAAATTTGCACATTGTAACGACCTATTAATAATAATATTTATTATTATTAATTAGTCATAATAAAGATCAATTAAGATGAAAGTAAAACGTTTAAGAACGTTTAGTCACAATAAACGTTAATAATATATACTTAAATTTAAGAAATATAAGTGTTAGTATGACAAAATGGTATTACCATATATTGATAAAAAATAGTTAAAAATCACTTAAAATACTCAAAAAGGATATTTATTAAAAATATAGCAAGATACGATCACTATTATGTCAATTAAATACAATTCCATACTTAGTGATTTCTAAGGGAAGTATTATGTACCGTGCGGGGACACAATTGTATGATCGTACATATATAAGTACAGAGGTCGATCGCGACTCTTAGTACTATAGTGAAAGTACATTGTATGAACGTCCCATACCAAGATCATATGGAAGTAAGGTCTAATGAATAAAAGTGATAATATGTGAAGGCTCAGAGAAAAAATAATAAATATATAAATATAATGAAGAGCAATGAATGACTTGGGACTTTATAAGAGAT